ACAGATTCTTCCTATATCTGCTGAGGCTTCATAAAAAGGAGGACTTATTCAAAGGCCACGTAACTCTCGACCCTTGGGTGTAAAAACTAAAATAAAAAAGGGGGAAATGTACAGAAAAATCTCGTTACAACGAATCCATCAAGACCAGTGAAATAGCTCTCTTGATGCTTGCATGGGTGTCAAAGAGGGGAAAATACAGTTAAATATCGCAGCAAGGAATAAAATTGGGACCAAAGAAAAAATAGCTTCGTTACAAGAGAAAAAATTCGTTAAAAGCGAGCTCAAATACCAACGCAGATACCATATTGGACAGGGAATTGAAAAAAAGAATTCGTTGTAATCAATTATTCTCATAACGAAATTATTCATGAAACTCTTGCACCAGGAATTCTGGAAATTAAAAAAAAAATTATACTGATGCATTTCGCCAGACTTCCACACTTGTCTCTCCTACCAAGTGATTTATGAAAAAATATCTTGAAGGGGGAAAAAGAGACTAGCATGACACAATTTTTGCGCATTAACAATTTTTTGGCACAATAGATGCCGTAATATAAGCAATTTTTGCGTCTGACAGAGGGCATTTTTTTGAATCAAGGAAACTAGCAAATATCAGTGCAATTTTTATCTTCTGATTAAGAAAATTTTTAAATTCAGAAAGTTAAGCAATCAAAATTCATAGATTAATTTAATTAACATTTTCAAATGCACAATTTTTAATTTAATAAATTGCTGGAATACAAACTTTCAAGTTGTACAGCAGTCATTTTATGAGTGTCTAAAATGAATTGAAATGTTAAAATTATAAATCATTATATCAAGAATTTCACAAAAAAATTTGCAAAATGCCATGCATCCAAAAACATGTTTCGTTGGGTGAAGATCAGTAGATATTTACTTCTTTCAATTTTCAAATTTTTCAAAGAGATAAAGGAAAAGAATGTTCTAAAAAGCTGGCATACAAGTATTTCTAAAAAAGGGCTGCCAATGGATTGATTAAAGTGTAAGGTGTAAGAACAAAATATATTCTTCTACTCTCAATTAAGTTATGGTGACCTTTGACCGAACCTACATGCCCATGGGCCTGAATACATTATTGTGGTTGTCTGCCATTAATTGACGAGCTAGCAATCAACCCTCTGCTGTCCAAACTTTAACCATACTGTATTACATTTTATTTCCAGGATATTTGCAAAAATGTATAACCCTAAAATATATAACAAAGAAAGATTACGCTTTTTTATTAAGATTACGATTTTTCAAGATTAAGGATTCGTTCCATTCATATTTTGGCCAATGCATCACCAAAATATTGAAGAAAAACCCCACGCTGAGTTATTTCATCTTTCAGCAAAAAATAAACCCTCCCCGCCCCCCCAAAAAATTATTTTGCTTTCCAGAGCACATCGAATGTTTTCTGGACGTTGTCTACACACCAAGCAGGCTGGGATTCCCTGACCTCAGGTCAAATACAAAAGCCCTATGTTAACATATAAAAAAAAATCCCGGACCTTCAATGGGATTGAAATAATCTTGTGGATTCAAAGAGGTAATCTTGCATCGGGATACCATATTCATTTATGCATTGGCTCTATCAACGTATGGGCTATTTTTCACCCATGTTCTAGATGGGGGGGAAGCTTCAAAATTGAACAACTGAACATTTCAAGGCCTGTTTCAACAGGTGGAATCAAAAGGGCTTGCGAAGTGTGTACAAACTGGTGGTGATGACATTGAGGACTCAGATGCCTATAGCCTCTTGGAACCATATAGAATAATCAGAACAGAATGCTTTATTTTCCACTTTTCAGTGTTCACAAAGTTCATTCAACATTCCCATATCCAAACCCTCTCCTATGGAACTATAGTGAACATAAGAAAAATACTTTTAAAAATCCCTGGTGTTTAGATCATTTCAAGTCTGCGCCGAATTAAGTCCGCGCGGAAACGTGTAACTTTCGTATTCGCTTCAATTTGCAAGGACATGAACCTTTATTTTCATAGAGGAATGTTTTACAACTGGTTCATAACTTATTCGAAAATAAAAATATCATGAGAAAAATTCTTTTAAAAATCCCTGGTGTTTAAATCATTTCAAGTCTGCGACGAAACAAGTCCGCGCGGAAAAGTGTAACTTACGTATTCTCTTCAATTTACAAGGGCATGAATCTCTTATTCACGAAAGAAGGCTTTAAAACTTGTTCATAACGGAACATAAAGAAAAGAAAAACATCATAAGAAAAATGCTTTTAAAATCCCTGGTGTTTAAATCATTTCAAGTCTGCGACGAAACAAGTCCTCGCGCAAACGTGTAACTTTCGTATTCTCTTAAATTTACAAGGACGCATGAACCTCTTATTCACGAAGGAAGGTTTTACAGCTGATTCACAACGTATTCGAAAAGAAAAAAACACCAGCAAGTGTCCCCGAAAGGAAGAATATGCCTTCAATACTCTATAGCAGATATACTGTATGCGGTACAACGAAAAGCGTATCAGACATAAGACACGAGCTGACGACCGCCATTAAAAAGCTGTTATCTACTATTTTACTAACGAAAGCCGTTCCCTTTAGTTACGGGCTCTAACAGGAACTACCCTACGGCATTAGCTTAAAAGGACCCGTATATTAAGCCCACGCTGAAGACGTGCTTCATTCCCAATTCATTTCTCCCTGATGCGCCGTTGTTATATTCCCTGAGAATAAAATGCCGAATAACATATTGTCAAAATTGCCGGGCACGAAAGGCAAAAAAAAGGAATGATGGCGTCTCACATTACGTCAGCCTTACGGGCAAATAATCTCCTCATTTGGAAAATGACTGTCATTTTGAAAGCTTTTAAAGTTCAGAATGTACTAAGAGGACTATCCACATTACAACACCGACGTCAGCATCGCAGTAAAATATTGCATATCATGATTTTGAAAATAGTAGTGGGGTTCCGAGATGCGGACACACTTGGTGCCTGGACCGTGTCTGTATGTCGGAACGTCCGCATCTCAGATTGATCACATTTGACAATATATTTGTACGGGTATACATTCAATTGGTTCTCCTGCTGTTGATGAAAAAATTTGAAAATTAAGTCCCCAAAAATTAAGTAAAATAATTTATCTCAACTTCATGATACAGAAAAAGTAGTATACAGAAGAAAACCGCGAATAATCTGATTTTTTGGCATGAAAAGGAGCCTAAAAGCAAAAAAAAAAAAATTATTCCGATACTGTGCTCAGATTATGGAGGGCATTCTTGGAAAAGAAGCGCAAACTAACTTGCTTCCAATGATGAATTATATTAGATTATGCTAAAATTTATTTCTCTATTTTTGTGAATATGAGAAGCTCAATTTACTGTTCTAGAGATGTCAACATTTTGGAAATACTGTACAACATTTGATTGTAACTAAAAAAAAATTTGAAAAGTGTCCCTAGCTCTCTCGAGACATTGTCCGGATAACGGACATACTTTTGGAGTTATCAAGCGTTCCAAAGTCAATTGTCCGTATGTCGTGGAACTCGTGGTGTACTCAGATCGGGGCCTCACTGCGATTTACGTAGAACAGAAGATTTTCTAAAAAATCAAATCTTTCATATAAGGATCGAATACATTTCCTTCTTTGGATTAGCATTTTCTTCTTCGGTTTCTACCCTCCAGAGTTTGCTATAATGGATGATGCGATCGAATTCATGATAAATCAAGAAATGGAACACTTCTGTTTCCAAATGAAGAATTGCAATGTGAAAAAAATGCTCTAAAAGTTCGCAAGAATAACCACTAATCAGGTTTAAAATACTCAGTGGTTTTCCAGGGAGGTCAACATTCCAAGATAGCAATTTGGAGCGTAGATCAGCAGGAAAAAGGTGTTGTATCGCAGGAAATTATGACAGTATATGGGAAAAGTTGCCCCATTCATTATATGCAGCGAATTTTAATGTTAGCGCCATCCAAAAAAAATCAGCATAAAAAATATATATTTTTCCTTCCTTAAAATATTCAGAAACGCTGATTGACAAAATGCGGCCACAATTTCCCGATCCGGAGTGCGCGGAGCGTACCATGTAAAAGACGTTGGTAGTCCTCGCTCCTTCAAAAGGTGTCAAAAGTACATATTTTATTATAAAGGGAGAGGGAGGAAGAGAGTTAGTAGTTGAAGCCGCAACTTTGTTGCAAAAGCTCAACCAGGCGTTTAGTTTTTAACGAGGAGGAATTACCGCAAATTCGCCGCGTGTGCGCTTTTAGGCAGGCAGATTAGACGTGCCGCCGATGATGAACTTACTTGCAGCTGATCTATTGGAAAAATAAAAAAAAAAAATGGAACACATTATTCAAGGATAACATGCTTTACAAACTCCATTAATATGTGATTTAAAGTCGTGATTCTTTCAGTCAGAAGGCTGATCGAGCTTCCATCAACTTGGTTGTCTGCGAAGCACTAAATAATGCCTGAGTATTTTGACATCAAATTTACTGTTTTCTTTGCCCGAGAAAAGTGGCTTCAAATTGTATTGTTTTTTAAATCAGTGGAATACGAAAAATTAAACTCGAATTTTCATTCAAAATCGTTTTTTGTGCAATATTGCTCAAACGTGGGAAAGATATATACTGTCATATTTTTCCCACGCTTAATTTGTCTCTTTTCAGACATGTCGACGATCTGAATTCTTATTGATGTCCTTTTCTATTATACTGTTAGCATTTCGCATGGAAATCATTTAATCAAGTTTATTGAGCAGAGTTAAGTCAGGTCGGTTTGGTTATAAACTAGGTTGAATCAATGCGGAGGATAAATTATGCGTTATGATGTCGAATTCCGTTCCGCGAATGCTTCGAATATAGTCGGGTTTGTGATTCAGGCGACACCTGCCCGACATTCCTGAAAGCAAGGCTGGGGCGTCAACGCGAAAATACAGCTGCACTGTACTGTATATAAACACTTGTTTTGCAGCTCGCAAAAATTAATTTCATGCATAATGATGACTAATTTGCTGTCTATTTCCAGGTCCTCCTTTGAAACGTTTCTTCGCGGAATTGAAAGTGACAAGAAATATGGCCTTTGGAGCTGGAAGCCACGTGACCCTGGTTGGGATCTCATGCCTCATTGTTTTTCTCGCCTGCATAACAAATGCCGTGCCAACAGATCGACTTCGACGTAAGAACTTGGGTCCCAAGTAAAGTATAAACTTTAAGTCCTTAGTCCTAACTGGTATTTTTTATTCTAACAGGAAGTTCGACAACGGAGTGTGCTCCTTTCCAATTTCGACACTTACTTTTATGGCAGCGTTTGAAATTCATTCGATTATTTTTTATACGATTTTTCTTGATCATGGTGGATTATGACGCTCATTTTTGGATAAAAATCCCCATATTAGAACGCTAATTTCCACATGCTTTCAGTGAAAGCTGGTTTGAAGGGTTCATTCAAAGGTTTGTCCCATTTACTGCATATATTATTTAAAAAAAAGTCTTGCCAACAATAAGGCGTGAAAAACTTCATCAATTGAAAGAGACTTTGATGGAATAAATTTTACTCGGGGATTTATTTTTCAATTCCATTGGTCGACTCATTCAGTAAAAATCAGTATTCATACTGCTGCTGGAAAAAAGACCGATTGTTTTCTTGCCGACCCTGTTTATATATTTTTTTCCTGCGGAAACGTATGGGATAGAAATAACTCAATTGTGCAAATTGAACAGTCTCTAATTAGCTTTAAATGAGTTACTTCGACTTCAGCCTCTTCCGCGCTGTCGCGAAAAGTGAAATGGACTCACTAATTATCTTGGCGTTAATTACGCAATTCGTTGCTTCATGTCTCCGGAAAATGCTGTCATACATTTTGAACCCAGGGTTCATTTCATATTTGAAATTCAGGAATCAGGATTGACCATAAAAAATAAGATTGTCCTTCAAGCTGTTGCCTCACACGAGGAAAGGTTAAAGCTGTGAATGAAAATACCGTCGCAATGAAATTCATTCGATTATTTTTCATACGATTTTTCTTCATCATGGTGGATTATGACGCACATTTTTGGATAAAAATCCCAATATTAGAACGCAAATTTCCACATGCTTTCAGTGAAAGCAGGTTTGAAGGGTTCATTCAAAGGTTTGTCCCATTTACTGCAGATCTTATTTTTTTAAATGTCTTGTTGGACATTTTATTACAAATGTCCAACAAAAAGCCGTGAAAAACTTCATCAATTGAAAGAGACTATAATTGAATCCTTTTTACTCGGGGATTTAATTTTCAATTACATTGGTCGACTCATTCAGTATTTATACTGCTGCTGGAAAAAAGACCGATTGTTTTCTTGCCCATCCTGTTTATATATATTTTTTCCTGCGGAAACGTATGGGATAGAAATAACTCAATTGTGCAAATTGAACAGTCTCTAATTAGCTTTAAATGAGTTACTTCGACTTCAGCCTCTTCCGCGCTGTCGCGAAAAGTGAAATGGACTCACTAATTATCTTGGCGTTAATTACGCAATTCGTTGCTTCATGTCTCCGGAAAATGCTGTCATACATAGCTCCATATTTGAAATCGCTAGCAGAAACGCGCCAAAAAAGCTCATCTCTTCAAGTAAGCTTGTAAAACTGCGCATAAATCTCATAAACGCCTGCAGCCATCTGGTCGAAAAAGGAGCTGCGATGTTTGAAAACCACCGGTGTGCAAACCTTGGCTAATGGAATTTCACACACACACTCTTCTATTGCTTAAAAAAAGGAAGAGAGGAATATTATTATTGTTATCATTACATGGAACCGTATGATGTAAACAGTTCTGTGCATATGGTCATGATTCTTCCTAGCTTCCACCGAAAATGAAGTTACGACCTGCGTGTGCTTCTGGTGGCCTCTGAAGCATGAACTGGAAGCTTGTTTGCTGTGTTGCTTAAAGGGTTATGCGTCATAATCTCGGTGGATGGTGAAAAAACAAGGCTAATGGGTGCTAAGTGGATTTACTTTTTGTTTTTCGCTTTTAAAATTGAGGTTGGGAGTTTGAAGTCACGGTTATTAAGGTGCAAATAGAAATTTTCCTTGGCTTGCGAATTTTTATTTTATTTTTTTTACCAGTTTGAGACTATAGAGACGAAATTGATGAGCTGATTGCTTCTAATGTATTGTACTGTGCATGAGGTTCAATAATGTACTCGAATTTGCTTAAGGAGCACCAAGGGTACAGTATGAATGAATGAACAGAACACTTTATTTGCCGCTTTTCAGCATTCACAAGGTTCAATCAATATTTCCACAACCAAACCCCCTTCCCACCCAACCCAATACATTTTAATCACTTCAGAGCAGGAAAGCACAAATTGATAACAAAAATACTGTAAAAGAAAATACAATACAACATGAAATATACAGTAAGATACAGTAAGGGTACAATAAGATAAGTCAAGAGAAATCACATGAATCCCATCCAACTTTCAAATTAACTTTTTCGGGTATACGGTTGGAACTTCAGGTAATATGGTATTCATATCTGAATATATTGGCATTGTATAAACTTTGAATTTCCGGGAGAAATAACTTTTCAGAATCATCTGCGCTTCTAATGATTAATTAGGCAGCGAAGAATCGTTAAAACCGAGAATCGCGTTCCGGAATTTGCCATAAATATGCGTGATTATCTGCTACCGAACTTTTTTGTATCTTCGCCATTTCAGCGGAAAAAATTCGAAATCATTTCGGAATAATGCAGCTGTTTTTGTTGATTAGTCATTTCAAAGAGCATTAGGCAATCTATATTGATTTTAAAACGTCGACGAAAACAAAGAACATTTTGAGAAGGAATATGTAACTCCTGAACAGTCGGAGTTGAAGCGCTGAAAAAACGAACCATCACGAATTGAAGCTAATATGATTATTTTTCTAATATAATATTCAATTTTAAAATCCCCCGGGATAGGATTTAAGATACAATACTTATTGCTTCCAGGGGTACGTTGAAGAGTTTCGTATGTACAAAGGTTGTTTCAATATTGTGGATGCTGGCTCTTAATTATTAGCACGTTAAATAGTAGTTAGCCATGCAAATTATTCGATTTTACTGTTTTTCTGAGGCAATATAATCGAATCTAAATTAAATTTCGATTATTTACACTTTGTGAAAAACTAAAGAATTTATATTGCTATGTACTGTACTATGATATCGGCAGAAGTCAGAGGCACTTCCTGGCATAACAGTGGTTATATATTTTTAAAATTTCAACCGCAGGCATTAATTGATTATTAAGAGGAAAATAAATGAAAGAAAGCATTTAGGGCAATCGCAATTTACCAAGAATGTGTGGAACTGCGACATACAGTGTTTTATTTTTTTCCCAGCCCGCCGAAACAGACGTGTGGAGTTCAGAAGAAGTTTTAGACTCACTTGAGAATATCGCTCTAAAAGTCGAAAAAGTTTTTCATGCCGGACTGCAAGTCATTCAAAGCCACCCACGTTTTTTTCCCAGCCCGCCGAAACAGACGTGTGGAGTTCAGAAGAAGTTTTAGACTCACTTGAGAATATCGCTCTAAAAGTCGAAAAAGTTTTTCATGCCGGACTGCAAGTCATTCAAAGCCACCCACGATACGCATGGGAAAGTCAAGTGAACTCCGTACCCTTCAACCCTTGATAGCACGTGGCAATTTCTGTTGGCGTAATTTTTAAAGTCTCAGCGTGAAAAATAAAACACAAATGATGAATAATAAACGAAAGAAAGTAGAGGATTTGGAACATTTTAAAATTCAATTTTAAGTGCTGTATCGTGAAGCTTTCGAAATTTTTCATTGTTCTTAGATGTCTGAACATTGTCTGAATATTTTGGTCTAAATAAAGATGAATTTCCGGAGGAAATATCTTTTCAGAATCGTCTGTTTCTCTTGATTAATTAACCATCGAAAAAGAATTTAGAAAAGAAGTCAAGTCTAAACGTCTCAGATTACTCCAGTTGACATACGCCTCTTGAACGTGAAATTTATTTCGATTTTCCTTTCATAAATGATCCAGTCTGATCGCAATAAAAAAATGCACTTGACCCCGCGAGGTCATGAGACCCAGTTTGTTTTTCCTTTTTTGTGCCACTGCACAAAAACGTCTCTATCTTGATTATTCCAAAGTGCTTTTCAATCGTTTGTCGCTCGAGGAAACTATGTTGCTTGTGTCAGGTGTCCTTTATTCCACTCACCAAATACATGTATAATGACCAAAAATCCATTATTGGCGGAAAAATTTTGATGATTAATCCACCTGCTTTCTCTTTGTTGTTAATCACGGCTGTCTCCGTTTTCCGTGGTTAATTGGCTCGTTTCGTAGAATTATTGACCACGTGCTCGTTGTTGCTTTTTTTTTGCGCTGAATAATGGCAGAAGGCAATGGACCGTTCGATTGCTGATCCTCGGTGATTTTGTGTTACGCAGTCAGCTTGAAGGAATAATCGTGGGGACAAATGACAATGTCTTTTCCGACAACTCAGCCATGTTGCTTTAATAGAACTAGATCAAACTTCGTGTTTGAAAAGCGATTTTATTTATCGTGATCCCCAAGATTTTTGTTTAAAAAATCTTTCCGAATACTATATACTGAAACCTTAATTTCGCATGTTTTTGTCTGTGATCATGGAACGATAATAAGCACTTTTATACAAAAAAAACGCAGTCCTTGATTGAAAGCAAATTAATCAAATATTTAAAAAATATTTAGCACTTTGATAAGTTTACGTTCTTAGTTACAATTTTGTATAGTTGGAATAAAATGTTCTACGACCTTTTCTGGTCTTCTACTAACACCTGAAGTAACTAAACCAGTTGACAATTGAAAAAATATCGTATAGCCACTTAGCACAATATTTTTTTTAGTAAAATACTTAACTGTGATAAATATTCAATGGAAGGAAAAAATAAATTGACTTCAGTTAAAATACCCGGCATACAGTTCGGTGCTGTGCTTTCTATGAATCATCAACTAAAATTTTATTTCAGCTGATCACATTTCCAATAAATCAGAGGACGAATCTTCGGAGTTCTGCTGCAATTATTTGAAATATTCAGCATTATTTCTTGAGCCTTCAACTGACAAAAACGCTCGGAAAGAAAGATAAAAGAATAATGCGGGAAACTTACCACGAGTTCGAATCTTTCTACATTCGTCATCGACTTTAACGTTATACCAAAACGTATAATGCTGTCGGGGATTTCAGGCAAAAATTGAAAAAAAAAAGAATCTCGCAGGGCTTTTAATGGACGATTGTGCCAAATTTGAATCGCATTTCAGCTGTTGCTGTTTCCGCGGAAGATCACGGCAAGCCGGATTTCCATGTAATTAGCAACGCAGCTCGTTTGGAAAAACGAGAAGCTCAGCAAGAACCCGTAGAGAACGCTGATGATCACGCATTGGACAAGAAATCCTTCGGAGGAATGGGTGCCAGCGGGTTCCACGGAGACACCTTCAGCAATGGGTGAATTTCTCGCATTTTTTTTATTTACAAGATTTTTCGAAACCGGTATATTCAGTATAATTCTCCGAAAAAGTTGATCCTGCATCGATGCACTCTTTATTCACGTAGAAACAGATTTTTAGATAAGTAGCTATAGCCTGTCTCTTATTTCAGACACATAGACTCTCGTAATATTGGATAGAATATTTTAATTGAGCGTCAAATGCTAAAGAAAAGTGCATTTTTGCTTCTGTCGTAGGCACTCTTCTCCACAAAGTAGTCTGAATTTAATCAGAATAAATTCAATGAGTCACAACATAATAATAATCCGCGACAGAATGCAATTTTATGATGAAATAATTCATATTATACCCTATCTACCTCAAGTTGAAATTAAAACAAAGTTACCCTCCTCAGACACTCAAAAAATGACCATACGAAAACTTGAAAAAAACTGGCGTCTCTTTTAGCAAATTATTCGCATAACATTGTAAATTCAAGGTTAATATATATTAGCAAAATAACGTAAACCCGACAAATTAGAGAGAGGGTAATTTTCTGAAATTCAGAGAGTGTCAAGCCCATGATCATTTTAAAAATTTTAGTGCATATCCTAGTTAAATCTGTTGCCTTTAAGAAAAAAAAAATTCAGAAAATTTTAAATCAAAATTTGCTGACATAAGCGCTTTGATTGTAATGAGTCACCTTTTCTCCTTTAGGAAATCGCTCGAAGCGAAATTTTTTGAAGAGTAAAAGTGAGGACAAAATGCGCGCTAAGCATGTAAGAATCAGCAGAAATTATGTTTGAATGATTAAATCGTTTTTTTTTGAAAGTCCACGATCTCCCTTGAATTCTTTCGTCGCCTTCACAGCCGCCAATATGCGGCTGTGCCAATGTGGCGGCTGTGAAGGCGGCTGTTGATGAAAATGGCGGAATTACCTTCGAAGACCCGGAGGCAACCCTTGGAACTAATGCCACGTTGATTTCAAGAATTCTGAGGGAAAAGCTGGACTAAAAAAAAAAAACTTGCAGGAGGGGCGCCTCATCTATTGAGTGGATAGCAAAACTCTGCCCGGGTGAATTTTTCAAAACATTAAAAAAATTGTCAAACAAGTCTGATATTTTTTGTGCCAAAGAATATGTTTTCACTGGAGAGTAATTCTTTTCAGCTCGATTAGACGCCTTTTTCATTTCCATTCCGAGAACTTTTGCTAGAACCCTCGTATGCACTTAATCCAGTTTCACATACGCAGTTTAACTTGTTCTTCAAACTGGGTGATTTTTCGTAGGAAATTCTTCATTTTCAATGTTTTTGATCATCCATTAATTTCTCGGCTATACAAGTATACAGTATATGTCACCATAATTGAAAAAATTGATGATTTATGTATGCAAATTCACACTTTCTATGACAAATCTTACCCAGTTGATTGTCGGAATAAAATCGGAAGAAAGTTTCCAGCATTAATGCCACTAGTTAATGCGGGAAGAATGCAGCAAATATAATGAGATTTCCGGCCAAATGGGAATCAAATTTGGATTCTAATTTGCGTGTGTTCCACAACGCCCTGCGAATTCTCATCAGAAACACGTGGATGATGTGCGGAGTATGTATAATTCATACATATATACTTTTTTTTGTGTAGTTCATCCGAATGCCAAGAAAGTTTATTCCACAGCCATCATGCACAAACTCCATCGGTCTCGTCCAATTTAGTCGGTAATCTTTCTTTCCCTTCGCGGAAACAATTATTATATATCCTTTCGCCGCAACAATTTTTCCCCAATTGTGGAAACTTCTAATTACACAAAAAAACCTAATCATGGAAGAATTATGTGAGGTTGTTAGGAAGAAGCATTAAATTTGCAACATTACGTCCCTTGTCAGACGCTCCGCAACGTGTTTCTGATGAACACCGAGTGTCATTTCAACTGCGGAAATTTGTCGATAAATTTCATTTCAGAACGGGGACCGAAATTGGCGCGGTTTTTATTGCATATGTTTCTCTCTGTATTCCGAAAACAAATTGTCGCTTGCTGCATCTTGTTCTTGTTTTGGTGTGCAGCGAAAATTAAGAGTGGAATATTTCAGAACGGGGACCGAAATTGGCGCGGTTTTTATTGCATATGTTTCTCTCTGTATTCCGAAAACAAATTGTCGCTTGCTGCATCTTGTTCTTGTTTTGGTGTGCAGCGAAAATTAAGAGTGGAACTATAGTACAGTATTTTGTTTTCATTTGTGACTGAACGCGGAAGACGCAAGACATATTCACTCTTCTCTTGGATACATGTTTTAAAAATATTTACTGTAGCATCAAACATTTATGATACATAAAAGACTCTTCTAATATAAAAAGAAGCGAGCCTTTTTTCTCTTTTTGAATGTTAGGGGAAAAATGCAATCAATACAGCAAAATATTGTGAATAATTGAAGTTTAACAAAAAAATCTTTTTCAGTTCCAAGAATGAAGGTGTGAATAATTTTCAATCTAGTAAATTTCCCACAGAATTTGTCTCAATTGTCTCAGCATTTCTCAGTGATTATTTCATCCTCTCAGGTTTTTCATAATAAATACAAAATGACTGATTTCTAAGATGGGAATGTGGAGGCTATTAAAGCCGATTCCAGGAATTTATTTTCTGACTGTCTTGTTTGGTGCGATTATTCCCCATGATTGAAAGATTCGCTTTAACATTGGCTTCTATGGAATATTAAAAAAAAGTATATGACTGGCATTTGAAAATGAGTCTGGCAATCTTCCCTGTGCAGAACATCAGTTTTATATGAGTTAAATATCAGGAAAAAATGTGACTGTCTTTTTACATTGCTTCCAGACGTGTTTGTCCCATGTAAACGGAGAATCTCATGAAACTTTTCTTAAATTTTGAATAATTTCGAAACAAGGAGTCAATCAGTTTAAGCTGGATAGTTTTAATGACATCGGCACAGTGATCAGATAAGCAAATAAAATATAGGAAACCAAAAATAATTCATCATCGATTTCAGCGTGTACGTATCTGTTTATTGTATCTGTTTTTTTCTATAATCCAAAAACAAAAGGTCGTTTGCTGCATTTTTTTTTTTTTGCGTGCAGCGAAAATCAAGAGTGGAAATATAGTATTTCGTATTCATTTGTGACTGAACACGTGTGACGCAAGACATATTCACTCTTCTCTTGGATACATTGTAAAAATTTTTACAATTTTTACAGTAGAATCAAACATTCATGACAGTTAAAAGGCACTTCTAATAGAAAAAGAAGCGAGACTTTTTCTCTTTTTGAATGTTAGGGGGGAAAAATGCAACCATCACAGCAAAATATTGTGAATAATGGAAGTTCAACAAAAAACTCTTTTTCAGCTCCAAGAATAAAACGTGCGAATAATACCCAATACAATGAAGTGTATACCCACATGTTGTGGGTACCCATTACAATTTCATGGGGTTCATGGGTTAATCAAGTTTGAGATTGCTGCTGGGGTAATTTGAACTGTAGAGCACGTTCATGCAGTGAGTCAAACTGAGACATAACTTTTGAGTAACCTTTTTTTTGTTAAAATACAATTTTCCCAAGACAAAATGTGAAATTACACATTTGGGCCAGTTTAAAATTTCATTTTCATACCATTTTTTCCCCCCATTACCTTCCAGATTCGGTTCATTTTCAACCATGAAAAGGAGTCCTTTTGGAGGCGGAGCTCGTGGGTTCCACGGAGACGCCTTTTCCAACGGGTTCGGCGAGTTCTCCACGATGAAGAAGAAGAAGTTCGGCTCTGGACAGATGGACAGTGCATTTCATGGTCGCAGCGCCTTTTCTGGCGGCTTCGGCGACTTCTCCACCATGCGCAAACGGTTCATGGGACCATCCGGGTTCCACGGAGATACCTTCTCTCAAGGTGAGAAAGGAATACAGCGTACTGTATATTGCATTTCTTTCGAAGGTGTTTCTCTGATGCTTTGAAACACACGCAAATTTTTCATTCAACATGAACCCCTCATGAAGAAAAGAATCAATAGAGTCGAAAAAAGATTGATGGATGAGTTTTTTTCATGAAATTTGCAACTGCTGGTGCAGCGCTGACTTTGACCAGGATTTCATGGCAATACTTTCTCTACAACGAAATTTAAGGGATCAGAAAAAAATCTTTGCAGAGAAAAATAAGGTTGCAGAGGAACCCTCTGCAACCTTATCAAAGCCTGTAACAAGATAACAACAAGAAAACTTTTGAAACTTTTAACATTTTCAACATTTGGATACCCCCTTATAATGCCTGTGGGACCAAAAAAGTGGTTATACAGGTGTATAGATTTTCTTTCTATAGCAATTTTTTCTGCATAGGGAATTCGTTTCGTCCCACAGGGATTTCTACACATATCGTAAGTGTATAATTTCTTTGTAAATAATATAACTATAATTTCTTCTTTATAATTTATTTGTATACAGAGAAACCACCTATACAGAGAAAATCATTGTCATTAAGATTGGTGGAGAGAGAGAGAGAGAGAGATAGAGAGAGAGAGAGAGAGAGAGACAGAGAGACAGAGACAGAGAGAGAGACAGAGGGGTAGAGAGAGAGAGAGATGTCTACCTTAAATGATGTACAGTACAGTCAAACCCCTTTGAACTGAAACCATCTGTCGTGTAGCAGGATTTTGGCAGTTTAATGATGGTTGTCACGTCCCAAAGCGTCACAGCTCCAGCATCCAGCTAAAACTGGCCAAGGATGGTTGGGGCCAATGAATGTACTGGATAATTTATTTTTGAACTTGATTCCAATATCTAATCAAATACTACAGCACATATTGTGGGAAATGCATTTGCAATGACAAAGATTCATTGCATACATTTTCAACTAGAATCAGTGGTTATGAAAAAAAATATCGACAGAAAACTCCTTATTATATGCACAAAAGGGAGTATGATAATTATTGTGGTAATGATGTGAAGTCTTGCAAGGGTCGTGCTTCTGGTCTCCTTATTGTAACCGCAAATAAACTGAGGAGTGAAAGCTATACATCACATTAATGAAACCCCTGGATGAAAGACTAGCCCACACACTTCCATCCATCCATGCATAGAAGAGTCAGAAGTTCATTCCTGCCATATGCACTCCCATATGTCACTCACAAACACGTGCGTATGCCACTTTTGGGGCCATTTTGTGCAAAAATTCTGCGGCCAAAATAAGTGTGTATAGATGAGCTGCTTTTCAAAACATTTTGTGGAAAATACGGAGATCATTCTTGAATCTGCAATGATGTTCTTTAAAGTTACGAATTTGTAAATGATGTAGTTGTTGATGCATTCACTTAAGAATATGAATTCACAATATAAATTTTTGGACTTCAGGATTTTAGAGGACACAATGCATAGAAAAGTCTTCTACCAACATTATTTCTTTTGTGCTGCATAATTGTTTTGTGATGGTATGATCTCCATTTCATTTCCGTGAAATAATTTACATATTACTGTATATTAGCGTTTCTAAAAAACTATTCCTACTGCTGTATAGTCATGTTTTAGCATATTATCCCAATAAGAAAATCATGAAGTACCACGTCGCTTTGTGTAAATTAATACGCATTCAATTTTTAAAATGCGTGCATTAACAGTCAATCCCTGGCCAATTCCCTCAATTAGGTTGAATCTGAACCTTTTGCAAACTATAATCTTTTGGTCAAACATTTCAGAGCAGAATTCTACAGTTTTTGTTGTTCACTTGAGGCTACATTTTAGAGGACTTGTTCCAGAAAAGGAAAAAAATGAATGCGCAAATTATTTTCTTCATTCTTTCCTCAGAGAATTAGGCATCCTTGTGATGTACGTTCATACATACAGTATATGAATGATGAAAAGGTCTGTAGTAATTTGGCCTGAAAATAATGTATGTTCATTAAAATAGCAAAATGAATCCAAAAACTATTTTAATCTGATTTTTAGGAATTATTCTCTGTCACCAAATACTATTCCGTAATGTCCCACAACATACAAAGAATACTGCCTATTTTTGTATCCAGTATTCATGAATGTCTTGCATAGCAACTCATTGCTCCAAAGTAGATGAGGTCATTGTGCATGCAATACACTGTCTGGTTTGTGGTCATTTCCCTTGTACCCTTTTCTGGCATCCTTGTTTTGGTTGCGCAGTTGCATCTGGCTTTACTCAAATCTATAAAGGTACCACGCTGTATATGTACAGATATTCATTGTCTGCCTGGCATTAGTTGAACCAATAAGAAATACATGTTAACACTCTAGATCAAGAAGCTGTATTCATTTTGAACCCCAGCCATAAGAACAAAATCTTCTCTTTGAAAAGTTATTCTCAAGAGCTTAAATACTTTAAGTTAATTGCTCTTTGAGGAGAGATGTTTCCTCAAGACGACCATGTCTTCAGTCAAATCTCTTGCAAAATAGGATAACACCCCTCATATTTTTAATGTTTTTTTTTGAGATTTTCAATTGTATTATGAAGGGCTTTTACAATTTATCTTTTTTTTTCTCAGGTTTCGGAGGGTTTTCGACCATGAAGAGAGCCCAAGATCTGCCCTATGACACGCGATTGAATGACTTGACGTTGGCGGCTCTGCTGGAATCCATTCAACTTGCCAAGGCTGACCGACTGAGAGCATCTGACGACGAATACTAATATCATCCTGGATCCACCGAAAAAAAAACAACAACAACAAAACATCTTCTGTCTAGATGCAGAGAAGAATGCTTAAAAATAAAAAGAGAAAAGGGAAAACTTGATCGGTGCTGAATTTGCTGCTGCTGATGCTTGACTGCGTTTTCACAGCATCGTTTATATATATAGGCTTGACACCTGCTATCTCCTATATTAGCTGCTATTGCTTTGCTGGAAATAAATAAAGCGAGTAGGAGGACTCCGTGTGAGACAGTCATTTAGAAAAAAAATCTCAATCTACTGCAGCTAATTGATTTTCGATCAAATGTTTTCAATCTCGACTCACTCTCTCTGTATGCAATCGTTTTTTTTTTTTATATGGCTGGGCATTGAGTGGATGCATTCCACGGAAATTTGCTTGTTATTGTCGTTCTTTTTTCTCACTAAAATGCGATGATTGAAGAGTATAATAAATTGGATCCGAAGTAGTTACGATTATATTCTGATAACCCCGAGAAAAATGAACTCAGGAACTAATGCGTCCGTTCCACGCATTAAATTTGTTTTCCGATCCTTCGATATACTTCATGAAAACCTTAATTGCATTAAAGTTTACTTAGTGAACAGATTCAAATTGGGATCAGATGCGGGACTTTGGGTTGCTAAGCTTGAGGGATTTATTATTTTTTCTTTTGGATGTTAGACGCGTAAATTCTCTGAGAATACGTCGTTGACTTCATTCACGGCTTCATGAAAAAAAAACCAAGGAAAATGTTGCTACTAAATATTTGCATTGCAGTATTCGGGAAAATTGCGGGGGAGAGGGAAACGAAAAAGCGGGGATTTGCGGAAAATGTGGCTGAAATTTCATCGGGGTCATGTTCACTCGCAAAATCGTGTCATTTTTTTTTGTCCGCTGCGAAGAGGCCAAGAAAGAAAATACAATGCTATGGAGAATTTCGTTATGGTTTCTTTGATGTTACAATGAAAAAAATGCACCAAGTAAACGTCATATGAGATTCCAATTATTTCATATACGATTTAAGTGCGCATACAAATTCCTTCAGTAAATGGCAGCATGACGATCGCCATTTTTAGGGAATGAAAAACGTAAACTTTGAATTGCGTCCTGAAGACATTTTATTGTTTTTTTTATCTTGAATTTTGGGTAAAAATAAAATTTCCATACTAATATACCTACAGTAGGAATTTAAAAGGTTGTTTCATATGTTACATTCACCGCGCAATTTATAAAAAAATCTCAAAATTTCAATAATATCGAAGTGCAATCCTGAGACAAATCGATTTTACCTGAACTGCTCAGTACCTCTTCTCATCACTACCTTTCAAATCATGCGTGAAAGATTGGATGCACACTACTTCAAATTGAGAAATCACAGATTCAAGACTGAAGAAAAAATTCCCTTCGAGCGTAATTTTTTATTTGAATGAAAAAAATACGAACTCACAACTATGTTTTTCTTCATTGATACTTGACAACAGATTTCGAAAATTTAAATATATATTTCATATTAAAAATCGTTAGTCTTTCTTCCGTTTTCAGATCTTACTGTTTAAAGAGGAACAATCTCAAAATTGCTTACAGTAGAATGAAGAAAAACGGTCGGAAATTTTAATTATTTTATTCGTCATTTCTCTTAAAGTATATAATTATTCCTTAGGATGTCCATGAAGCGATCCTTGATGAAACTGTTTTTTCGTTAAATTATTTAAATTATTTTTAAAAAGTGGGGAAAAGCTCGAAATATTGTATATAATACAGCTCTTCGGATAAGTGCGCAAAGTGCTTCGTCCAGAATATAATGGGTTTTATTGCTGTATATATATTAAAAAATTTCTATAAAGTCTGTCAACAAGCATTGAAAAAAGACCCAATCTTGCTGATTTATGTTATGGATGACCTTATTTTCTGCACTATACTTTAAAGGCATTTCTTCACTCGTCCACCACGGCAGTCAGTGGAAGGGTCAAATTACACGTCGGTCATCGCAACATTTCGGTTGGGTCATGGCATATTTTTCTCCGAAATTGGGCAACTGAACAACCAACACACATAAGTATGTGAATTATTCCAGAATATTCAAGAACTCTATATGGACTCATTTATGGCCTTTATTGGACCGAATACGAGAGAAAAAAAGTGTGATCAGAGAGGGGGAAAAATGCTCAGGAAGTCTTGCTGCAATTTCCGTGAGAGACTTGGAAGTATATCATTATCGCCGGGTTATTTCTTACATAATGGATCCGGTTTTTGAGTTATTGTGATTGAAAGCATCCTTTTGATGCGCGATTATTGCGTACAACTAGGGGAGAATATATAAGTGCACTGAAAGTCAATGTCTTGAGTAATTTCAAAATGCTGATCTGCTTCCCTATTTTCTCCAGTAAAATGTGTATATTTCGTAGGCCTATACGCCCGGCGCAATTACACTTAACACTTGAAATTTGAGAATTGTTTTTAATTGCAATCTTTTTTCAAGACTTCAAACCAGTCAGATCGACCTTTGAAGCAAAATAGCTGAATAAGTTGATGTCTGGACTATTTTGAGAGCACCAGGACCCCTAATTGAGGCGCTATAGGGCCCACATAAAACATGAATAGTCAATCATGAATCTTCGTTGATTGTTGGACATGAATGGAATAATGTTTTGTCAATGCAGACAGTATGAATTCTAAATTTTCAACTTTCTGTGAACAATATTCATGTATTTTTTCTTCCTTCCAATTGCTAACTCAAAGATTTTTAATTGCGAAGATGGCTTTTTACAGATTTAGCAAAGGATACCTCTGATTTTTAAGTTGAATCTTATTGTACAAGATGACTTTAGTCATACACACTGGATCAAAAAATGTATGCAGAATACAAATGTTTCAAGGAGTAAAAATTTCTAATATATTGCAATTATTACCTTTATTTATTTGACAAGGAGAACATACTTACAGCAAGCATATTTGTGGGATTCTGCTCACGGCACACCATCAACCCTTGATTAAAATTTTAAAAAATGAATGAATAAAATTAAAAAAAGGTTGCAGCCATTTATTGGTGCACATTTTTCAATGAAGAGCATACATACGCTGTTTCCAAGAAAAATACGTTTCATAAAATTTAAAAGAAGAGAACCAATAGGCATTTTGATGAGCAATATTTTAACGCTGAGAATTGCTTCATACAGTCTACATAAAAATAACCGTTCGAAGTATAGCAATTCAGTGGAAGACCACTGCAATTTCTAATACAAATCAATGGCATTGAATGTCGCTGAGGTTATGAGGACAATCGGTTGCCTTAGATAATGATGGGAAATGAATCTTTTGTATTTCCCAGAAATGAAACAAGGAACACGATATATTGGATGGAATGATTTCGCTATATACTCGTATTGTGTGCTGCTTTCAGTAACGGAATTTCTGAAAAGCGATTCGACGTGGATTTCCCCCCCCCCCCCTGTATTTTAGCATGTTCTTGTAACTTCATCGCTCAGGACTTCAGCCAATCAATGTCTATCACAAATGAAGCTACAACTGCTTGCTCCCGTCAATCCACACAATACGTATGTTGGTATTGTTGGCTGAGAATTTCTGAGATAATGAGGACTTTTTTCCAAAAATGCAGCATATTCAGTTCTTTAATTACCATATTCTGTGTACAGTATATGGGTAACACTGATGAGGTGTGGCCTATTATTGTTTCAACGGAAGTCCATAACCCATTTCCACTCAAGAAAATTCAAGGCCAGTAAACGCAGAGAAATCAGTAAAATTTTGTTGAAACAAATCTCGTTATAACGAATTTTTGTAGTAAAAATGTGTTTCATTGGTCCTGGCAGGTTTGTCAAAGGGACAATGATATGATTTTTTTTTTACAACGAACCAATTTTCCTCTACAGTATATACTTCCAGAATAACGAATTTTTGTCTGCCTTATTTGTGTGCATGGGCTTCAGATATTCTTGCTAATTGGCACAATAAATATTGAAAAATCCAACCTGATGTGCATAAATTAAAATTTTCAAGCAATGTATATGCACATCTTTTTGTAAAAAAAAAATTAGCACTGCAGGAAGTATGAAGCTTTGATGAAAATAAGGCCTTATATTTTAAAATTTTCAAATGGGTAAGTTTTGAAAAAAAAGTAAGTTTGACGTGCAGGACATGGCTCTATTTCAGGGAACATAACTGTACAGCTCTCATTTTGATGAAAAAAAATTATTTACTCCTTTACAGTATTTCAAGGGAAGGAGTCGTAAAATGGGCTTCTTCACGTATCTGCTTACGAGGTAATTAATAACCCGTTTTCTGTTAAATTTAAGTCCAACACGCAGACTTGAAGAACTATTAATATATTTAAAACTAATTTTTTGATGCCATGATTTTTTTCTCAGATCCCTGGGAGTTTGTTGTGACAAGATTACATTTCAATGTATAAGTTTGAAATTCTGATAGTAAGCCAGATTTCAAGTCGGAGTTGTTGAAAGAATTTCCGTTCGTCGATATAAAGTGAGGAATACGATGATGATATAGATGATGATAAGAATGAAAATGGGCGGAATTCACAATTAAGAAGACACTAGAAACTCGAACTTGTTTTGGAAAAAATGGAGTTCCCGAAAACCGGGTGTTTTCTCAATTTGGCGGGGTTATCGGAGGGCTGCGCGTGTTTGGGGAGACGGGGACAAATTGTTCAAGAGTCAGGGTAGATGTTTTCTTGGCTGTAAAAAATGTTTTTTGAAGTTTGAAACTAAGGATGAACTCGGAGCGTCAAACGGCCAGCAGCTGGCAGAGTCTGGTCTTCCCCCCTTTTAGGTTATTCGAACTCCTTGAAAATCGGCAAGATTGAGGGGTCGTTTGACCCCTCCGTGAGGTTATTGGCCCAGGGATGGGTTTATGTTTTTTATTGTCGGCAGTTTCTGCCGAGTTGTTGAGTTTAAATTTTGTTGCCCTGTCAAAGGGATGGTTTGCAGCTGTAGGCGCGTCTTAGAGACGCGCCGATTGCTGTTTGATTTTTCGCGAATATTGTGGTTGTTTCAGATGTTCCAGCTTCCAAAAGAAAAATTCCGTACAAGTAAGCCAGATTTCAAGTCGGAGTTGTTGAAAGAATTTCCGTTCGTCGATATAAAGTGAGGAATACGATGATGATATAGATGATGATAAGAATGAAAATGGGCGGAATTCACAATTAAGAAGACACCCACGCTAGTTTTTTCTTTCTTTTTCTTCTTCAAATAAAGCGTCGACAATCTGGTGCTGCTCGACACTGATCAACCAGCTCAGCATAATCGTCGCTCGTCACGGTTTCAGCTAGAATAACGATTCTTCCGACAGTTTCCTTTTCCTCAACCTTTGTCTGAGTTTTCGAGCAATAATTAAATGAGGGACTTCCTTTTGCCAAGTTTTAATTAAATATTCTGTATGCATATAAAGATATATTCTCTGGGAAGTCTCCCCAAGATTTTTTTCTTCTGTTTTTACGTTCATCTAATCACGCCTTTGTTCCCCCTTTTTTTCGGGTCCATATATACTCCGCTTCACTCCTTCGTTCTGAGAGCCTTTTTCTGGCCTCATTTCTGAGCTACAGTCTCCACTTTTCTCGTTGTACTTTTGTTCTCATTTTAAGCAAGGCAGAGAGTTGATGAGGCTAATTTATGAGAGGAAATCTGGTGGGTGTGACCTTTGGTATAGGCCATAAGCCGCGATGATTCTGGAGGAACAAGTGCGGGGCATTGCCGCAGCCGACGAGGATCCAGCTGGAGGAGGATCCGTCTGCTCCAGGTTTTGGGAATGCTTGGGGAAGATTTGGAATGGAACCCCTTTGTGAGTTGTTTTTTCGTTGCTGCTGCTGTTGTTGTTGTAAAGAACAACAAAAGCTGGATTCCCGCTGAATTTAATCAAAGTTCCGACGTCCCCGAGCGACGCAAATATTTATTTTTGAAAATGATTAATATATACAGTGAGACCCCGACATGCTCATTTTCCCTTAGACTTACATTATATAATTTTTAATTGGTGTTTTATGCACAAAATACTCACCATAATTCCAAGAAAATGAAAATTGTGTCCCAATTTAAACTGATTCAATCAATATATTTCAACACAATATGGACAGTTAGGGGATTGAATACTGATATCTCTGTACAGTACAAATAAATGTTGGCATTCTCCATAAAAATATTATTCAAGTGAAAAAGAGCAAAAGAAGTCCCTCTATGCTGAAGGTAATTTTTTAAAATTAGCTAAATGGATGGTAAATTGGTGAGAGAAGTGCCCAAGAACTTTCCTCACATCAATTTTAGAGTTGGAAATATTTGTTTCTTGTAATTTGGCCTGAAATGTATTTGCAATTTTATCACAAAATGTCTCTATGCCAAGTCAGTGTCTTGATGTCAGGCCTTTTTCATTAGTTTTTTATTGGAAAATAAGTGTCCCTATGTCGAATTGTGCGCAGGTCGATGTGTCCGCATGCGGGGGTTCTCACTGTATATATATATATTGTGCTGAAGGGATATGCGTGCTCAAAAGCGAACCAAGACTGTTGGGTTCCTCGTGTGTGGAGTCTGTAAAGAATTGCTATCCATCACCTCCATCTCTTCAGAAAATCTGCATGTTTTAGGAAAATGTTTCTTGAAATATTCGAAGTGTTCCATGTGTAAAGAATGTTAGAAAGAATGAAAGAGAAAATAAATCCCCTTACAAACTCTACATACACAAGTCCTGTAAAAGCTTAAACCACCCAAGCGAAAGGTCTTCAATCAAATAAATCAAGTTGAACTCTCTTCTAAAGAATCCTTTTTTCGGTTTTTTTTATATTGCTATTTCCGATAGCATCCTGATCATCAATGAGGTTTTTTATTTTTCAGAAATGTATAGTCCACGATAAATGAATTTGCCCATTTTCGAGCTCTAAATATAATTCTTCATAGAATGTCGTGTCGTGTATTTCTCATATATTTCATTGATTTTTCCGTCACTTATATCTAACACATTTTAGCGTGCAAAAATGGTAAATACCATTATTTCAGCGAAAGTTTGATATCAAGTCGAATAAGCAGCAAATATGTACATTGTATTTATTCAACGGTGAAGAGCAACATGGGAATATACGTGGCAGAATTCAGATTTTGATAGACGATTACTTGATGGTGAAAATGCATAGAAGTATTTTGAATATCTTCAATGTTGAATGCTTGATCCTTTACTGCGTAATATGTTTGTTTCTTGTCCCGTTTTTCGGCATACATCATGCATTTGACAGTCATTAACAGCAATCGCAATAAAATATCGTGATTTAATTGAGTCTAATTTCACCAATCTGATATATTCTCAGCCTCACTGAAGAACGGAACCCAAATTAATGAGAAACAGTTGACCCCATATTAAACACTCTAGAAATTATATAAATCGTATTAATTCCTGATGATTTAATTTACATAAGTGTATTCTTTATTTTTATGAAGCATTCTGTATTTGTGGGGCGTAATTAGCAACAGTACGAAACTGTACCCACTGCAAACAACAGGTGCCAATCCAGATACTCGCATTTTACGTAGTGCAAAAAAAATGTATGGGATACGATTGAACCCAAATGTTACGAAACTTGCAATATACAAAGTGTGCAGGGCATCTTTCCTATTCCCGCGAACCATCAAAATGAACTTCTAGCCAGAGGCTTTATGCATAATTTATCTTCTCCTCGCAGAAGAAGCAATGCTGCAGTTCGACAGCAGGAAGTTTTGATTGCGAACTTCACGCGGTTCTTCATTATTTGTGACTATACGTGCTGTGTCCCATGCACATTAGTTTGTCTTCGATTCATACTTCGAACTCATGAAGAATACGCTTGTTCTTCTCATCAGCGCAGCAGTGGATGGAAATGCAAAACTCAGCAACAACGGGACCGGGTACAAAAAATAGCTGCAGCACTGGAAAACGAACGCCGGAGACTAATGGACCTTGAAAACAAGGTGCAGTTGAGACATAATCAATTCGAAGATAAATTAAACATTCTATGAAATGCTCTCAAAGTTTATTTAGGGTTCCTGTTTTTTTTTGAACGAGCGACAGATGTCGCCTGAGTTGAAAATCTCAGCAGCCCTAATGTTCGAGCCTGTTGTGACGAAGTGACCGTAATTAAATTCAACCGCAAAAATATAATAAAAGTAATGAAAGTGTAGGCAATGTCCGTTTAATGGCTCTCAAGAAGATGTATTAAAGCATGGATCTTTTTTTTTAACAAATAGAAATAAAATCTGCCCAGCTGTCATAGATATCGATCGTAGGACCTTAAGTACGCATTGAGAAATAACCCTGTCTCGCGGATATTTGTGTTACTATTCAAGATGGCACGAGTTTGATAAAAGGATGCTGACTTCAAATGGTTATTTTAAAATACAGTATGCTACACTGGCGTGAGCGATGGGCCTTAAATATTGTGAATACACAGGTTGACTCACTTTTATACCAAGAAATTCAGGGGATTAAGCAAAATCTTGTTGCAGAGAGAATTTCATTGCAGAGAATCCCCATGAAATGGGTATAGACCAGAGTTCCCCAACCCGTGGTCCGTTTCCATTTTCTTTATTGTTTCATGCTTGAATAAGCATTTGAAAATACTTTGTCCAGTGGAATTAGCTGATTACCATTGGTGTCGTTTCATTCTTGAATATGAAAAAAAAACTTGATCGAAATACACTACTGCGAGGCAAGAAGTTGATCGAAATACAGACTGTTTGTGAGGCAATGTCGGAAGTGGGGGTTATCTTCAGGTGACATCTATGCAATGAGAAGTGAAATCATAGTTGGGGTCAAGGAGGTATACGAGGGGTTACACGTTTCGGCGCGGACTTGAAATGATCTGAAGAACACCAAGGATTTTTAAAACATTTGTCTCATCTTCACTGGTTCTGAAAGGCTAGACAGACACTCTCTCAATATAATTACCGCTGATTTGTACACACTTCTCAGCCCTTGTGATCCATGTGTTGAAACAGGCCTCGAAATGTTCAGTATTTTTTTTAAGCTTCCCCAGACGTGAACTGCACCAACAAGCTGCTCCGCGCGGAACCGTGTAACCCTTCGTACAATAATGTACTATGGCGTAAATTAATACTGTTCTGGGCATGTATAACATGTATGGCTTCAAAAAACCCCAAGAAATAATTGTAACCATATCTCGCAAATTTTCACTCTTCTTATTGCCATAATTTGATCATTCAATTGTAATCATTTCGATCTCACAGGTTCGAGAAGTGATCGATGTGAACCGCAAAATTGGGGAGCTGAGTCCAGAAAATGGCAAGGAATGTCACTATCATCAGAATGTGGAGAAAACTAAGTCTGCTAACTGCTGGCACACAAAAGACAGCATTGACGACAACGAAGCAAGTACAGTATTCGAACCAAAACCAGACCAGGAATTTTGTATGACAAAATTTTAATTGACGTTCATGTTAAAACGGGCGACACAATTTTCTCCGATGTCATTTGATTAAAAATTAGGGGGATTCTATTACTGTAGAATCAAATTTGTTTAAGATTTCCAGGTACGTGGAATTATAGTTCACGATCAGATGGTTGCACACCGTTGACTGAGCACTCGACGGTTGTTACATAAGTTGGGTTCAATATAATACGCTTCGAAATTATAGAACCTGTGCTTCCCCTCTCTGGTCTTTCTTGATCTGGAGCACATTAAGTACAGAAAACAAAAAATTGAGGAACAGAATTGGAAGAAAAAAACAGCGAATAACTTGTTTTCAGAATAGACATGAGCAGTTTAGGTTTATTTCATGTAAGCATTCATATATGCTCATTTCCCGCGACCCTCGCATAATCACATACAGTATAAATCTGAAATAACTTTCTTGTAGTAAATTTTATAATTAAAAAAAAATAAAGTGCACCTCTAGCGTCTATAGTTGAGTCTCTGGTTTGATATATGTCGTCAAAAAAGGTCAAGCTATTCCGTCTGTGATTTTTTAGATTTTTAAAATCATGAGGTAGCTGTTTTTGAATATGTGATGCTTTTTTACGTCAATAAATTTTCAGTGACAGATCTTTTTCAATAATAATGTTCTCAACTTATAAATTTTCATCAAATTAAGATCCGATCTGAGGGCTTGAAGTGAATATAAGTACAGTATCCTTCTGAGAACAATAAAAAAATGATTTTATTCATAAATTTCGAATTTCGAATGAATGAATGAATGAATGAATGAGCAGAAAACTTTATTTGCCGTTTTTCAGTGTTCACAAGGTTCAATCAAGATTTTCACAAACAAACCCCCTTCCCACCCAACCCAAATCCACTCAATGACATGTTAATCACTTCATAGCAGGAAAGCACAAATTGATAACAAAACGGTTCAACTTCAGGTATCAATAGAATTAATTGCAGGGCCAAGAGTCGAATTTCGACTCTTCGGAACGGAAGGAAATACAAAAAATATTCAGCACTTCGGATAAAATGTAGCCTGCCATATTCCTTATTGAATACAAGGAACTCGGATCGAGAATCTAATTGCGTACCGAAGATCTGTGAAGATTCCCTCGAGGCGGCTCCTGATGGGCTTATCATAGAAGCTAATCTACCATATTCTAAGATAAATCTTTTTTCTAATTTCAGCTTACTTCGATACTCGGGCTACGTCGACAACCCTTGAAGCAACCTGAAGATTCAGGTTAATTGTTTAAGTTTAGCAATGATATATATTGTGCAAGTTTAGGCTCTCATAAATATTAGTTTAATTCAATTTCCAAAAACGTTGGTGGTTTCTCATGGGATTTTCTTACATGTATATTTGTATTTTAAACAAAAAGCAGAAATTGAATTTTATGGCCTACCATTTGATGCTGACGTTCTCTTCAGAGAAATATTTCGAAATTTCAAGATGTAATTCACGTTGAAAGCATTGGGGTGACATTTTTTTTATAGTACCCATCCATTTCCTTGAATTCCATAAGCCATTTATTTAACTAATTATCCAAATTATAGTTCATTACTCGGAAAAAGCGTTTTGAATATTTTGGGTTATATCAAGCAAAATCTTTTTTCTGCTATGCTCATTCGCGGATTCTGTCTTATTTTTGAATATTTCTCTCGTAAATTCTTGTATTTCTATAATTATAGATTGCAGAGGTATGATTAAAAAATTTATTCAGACAATATTTGATGATTTAAGATGCTTAAATGGTTTATCTGCTGTGTCAGGGCATCTACAGGTTTATGGGAAGGCTAGTTTTTGAGGGGATATTTATACGATATTTGTTTTCAACTTTTAAAATTTTCAAAATCCGCTCTATATCCCATGATTATTTGAACAAATATGGCCCTGCAATTAATTTTATGCTTGAAGTTAAACCGTGTTCTCTAATGAAATTAGAGAAAGCTTTACTATTTTCAGGTTATTGATACACTCATATTTAAATCGTGAAGATATCTTGGTGAAATATCTCTGCGATTGGTCAGTATTGAAATTACAGTACTCTAATTAATTTTTTTAATTCTGCAGGAGAAAATTCGATCAGCGAAAGAAAAATATCGAAGCATTTTGAAGCCGAGTTCGACTTCAAAAAATGCAGCAATAACTGGAGACTCTTCCAACCAGAAGGATTTTGAGTTTCCAGAAAATCGCCGGTGTCAAAAACTATCTGATACGTTTCCAGTGACACCGGATCTCCCTTATTGTCGTCATGCGAAAAATTCTGAAATTTTGTCGAGAGGACTTCCGCCAAATGAAGAGTCCTTCAGCATGGATTTCACAGGCACCGAAAGTGATCGAAAGCGAACAACGAGTCTGTGGGATTCGTACCATTGGGAAAACTATGGTAGGACGGGAAAAAGGATCTCTGGTTACGACTTGGATTCGGTTATTTGGCCCACTGCTTCAACCTTGGCCCCCAAGGAATATCTCGGATATTCCACATCCATTTCCGAAGGTACGACTTTTTTCCTCAAGGTCTACGAAATCATGGTTATCACATGAGTGAATTCTCGGTGACAAAAATGGTGTTTTTTATACGCTATACAGAGACGATGCATGCAAATAATTGCCTCGACCTGTTTTATTTATTTATTTATTTATTAAATATTGCTCAAAAAATAGCTGAAAACGAGCAGAAGTAATGCATGAAACATTTCTCACCACATATGTTCATTCCAACTATTTTTGTTCTGAGAGATATTTGAGGCATATCTGAAGCATGAAAATGAACATTTTGATTTTGACTGATCTTCAAAAAATAGGTTACGGAATTTTTGAGACTATAGATAGCTCAATTCATGCCGGAAAAGAAGAGATTCGATTTTCTCAAGGATAGCACTTTATTGTAATTCACTGTATGCATTCTTCATTCATGCTTTGAACAGAAATTTTAAAATGCTACTCAATCAAAACTGCGGTACAGTAAAATCATAAATTCCGAGGAATCAATTTTTTTTCTTGGAAAACGTATTTATTATATACTGTGAGACCCTGGATAATAAATTGCTGGTAACTTGAAAATCTGCATTACCAAGTGTTAACACGAGAAAAAATGTGATTGGCGTGACACATTTTTTCGGCGTAGCATAATTTTCTGGGATTGCAAATCGAACAATGCAAGCTTTATTTTATTCCTGGATATATTTTATTTTCTGTTCAAGGAATTGATGCATGAAAAATCTCATTCAGGAACAGATGATAATAGTTTTGTTATGCGGGTGCCTAAATATGGAGTACTTACGGTACTTGAAAATTAATGTTTCTCCTACTTTTTATGTTGAATTCTTATGGAAATGTTGAAAATTTGAAATTTTCGGGTGAATTGTTGTCCTACTAAAAATCATGCACGCGAAAAATAAGGTTAAATGTGACGAAGAAAAATATTTTCCCTGGCGAAATTTCTTTAAATTTTTCGGTTGACTCTCGAGTTGTCTATTGAAACATCAGCAGCCTTAAAATCATCAGGACTTTCAAGACACGTTCGAAGCGAAATATTCTGTAAGCATTTCATTTCGTACAAAATTCTTCACCCGAAGAAAAATACGGTGTATATATAAGCAATTAAATCTCCCACGCTTCAAGGCCCCAAAAACGCGTCGTTGCCAACGACAGAAGAAGTCGGTAAAACACAAGACGGACGAAAACGTAGACGTCAGCGGGGTCGACATCGTCACCAGTCCCTGACGGGCTTTATGACACGGCCACGTGACAGCAACCCGTGGACAACGACGATGACGAAGAAGAAAACCCCGGATTCCTTCTCACGGGACCTGAGAGCGTCGACAATCGTCGACACTGGGAAAGTCATGTTGGCGAATAATGCTGTTCCACCTCACGACACTGATGACGACGGGGAAAAACCTCTGAGACTAGATGATTATGATGAAAGAAACGCATTTCGTACGGATAATAATGAAGGATGGTCGAAAAAGGTCGGAGAAAGCAAGACATCAGGGGAAGGTGAGAAAATTGCAACTACAAAAAAAAGAATATTTTGTTTCTAATGTCAGGGAATGAATGGGTGTATGTATGCATAACATGTCTGATGTCCAGTTATTTTTCATGGATTGTATTTTCTTTTATTTTTGTTACCAATTTGTGCTCTGTTTCCTGCTCTGAAGTGATTAAATGTCATTGAGTGGATAATCGATTAGGGAGATCGAATCCACCATACAAAACTGTTATAAAGATATAGACAGAACACGTTTAAGGTGAATAAGAGCAATGAACACACTCGTGATTTCCTCACTTGAGCTCGATGAGTTGAAATCAGCTGAATGGAAATATGTTTTCATGTTCCCGTATTTCCTCCAATTTTGTGAGCGAAGCACTGACGCATTTTCACACGCTCGAGGTTATATTACTTGAATGAGTTCCAAAACTAAAGTTGCTGAGTTGGCAGGAATGCATTGATAAAGCTGTTCAGTACTAGATGATGAACAGTGTACAATGAAGAAGGAGAATAATTCAAAATATCCGTTTATTTTAGAAAGAAAAATTGAAAAGGATTTACACGAATATTCTTCAGAAATTCGTGATTTAATGTCGCTTCCCGCGCTTGATACAACTTTAGTCCTTCAATTTATTCTGGACGACAGCAGATTTCACTCGATCGTCGCGAAAAAAGAACAGAATTAAAAAAGGGCAGTGTGAGTTTCAATTAACTTGCAAACCACATTGTATCATCAGATTAGAGTTTTTCATCAATATATACTGTAGTAAAAATGTGGAGTTAAATTTCTAATGCATGTCATCACGCTCATATCCATCATAAAAACACGCGAAACTTATGACAGAACAGAGAGAAATCCGGAGCAAAAAAAATTGTGAGTTCATCTATTTCTGGCCATTTCAATAACTTTGAATGCATCCAGAGAACATGTCGACAACTTGGTCAAAGAAGACTTCTTCGGACGGAGAGTGACAAATTCTGATCTTCGCGGCTTGGATGGAACCTTCGTAAAGGCTGTTGGACGCTTCTGTTCCTCCTTCTGTTCTTCGTCTATCTTTCCTTCTGATTCCAGTCATCTCAATCTCTGTTCTTGAAGAAGAAGCACATAAATTCTCTCCCCACGAATCACAAGTTCCTGGAAGAAAAAGCAGAGCATTGCAGTCTGACAAAAAAAATATCCAGCAGCAGTCAATTCGGGTTTCTCTATAGAGCGAGACATCCTTACTTCCGCAGCTCAAGCAACATCACACAGATGTCGCTTGAATTCGGTTGCGTTCTTTTCAGTCAATGTCGTGCCAGGAAAAAATGGTTCACTTTTTCTCAACGGGATTTTCTTCGTCAAACGAATGCATGCTCTTAATCAGGATCAGTTTTCTTGATTGCTTTCATTTGCTTTCTTTCAAGAAAAATTGATTTTTCCCTCCTGATGATCCAGACAGCAGTACAGTATACAAAAAATTAATGATAAGAGTGCCTTAAACGTCACTTTCTCACATTCTTGTCATCAGATGATCAAAAAAGGATGGTATCAATTTTTACAAGAATAAATGGTTGACATCGACGAACGTAAAGGAATTGATGGATCGCTCAAGGACAATAAACTGCTGGTTTCCACGCAAATGATTTTGAAACTGTATCCAAAAATCCTGCGTCTGACGCATAATCAAAATACACATGCACATAATGTTGAAATATGCATTTATTAACTCATTTAAATTCGGACAGCTTCCGAGAAAGAAAAAAATATGTTGGTGATAATAAAAAAAAACGTATATACTCGTAGTTTACGTTTTTGCGGATCAAATTCATAATTGGGGCGACACCTGTTCTTTAAAATTTTAGATATTTATTGACGGCAGGATTTATGAAGATAATATGGTCAGAAATCGTTCTGAATATGACAGAATTGCTGTATGAAAATATTTCTCACCGGAATCAGTGTCGACCTTGGTTGACCCAGAAGAACTGTCACAGCCATGATTTTCCAGCGATCTCCCACGATTTTTGCTGCGGCCGTGTTTAACTCTAGCAGAGTTGCTGCATTTGGTTTTGGATGACAAAATCCCCGCAACCTGGGTTCTATTCCGGACTTTGGGTTCTGTCATCGTATTCGACAAGCCAGGTCTAATCCTTTTCGCTTCACGCAAGACTATCTGATGACTTGGGGAATCACAAACTTGGAGCTCTGCAAATATCCGTTGAAGTCATCCTTTATATTAGCACTAATTTGAAAACTTATAAAGCAGACGTCCGTCAAGAAAAGTTTTATGATATTGCTTCAAAATGCTGTGCAACACGCCATGTACTGTACTTAATTTAAAAGGCAGTTACCGTAAATATACTACTTTTATCTTTTAAACTCGAAACGAAAAAAGTATCCGTAAACGTAAAATGGATTTCAATGCATGAATACTGTACTGTATATTTTGAAGCAGAGAAGTTCATTTCTTCCATTCCATTCTTCAGAGTACAGTATACCAACCTATCTTTTGACATGACCTCTTCCTTGAATACTTCCAAATATATCAAAATTTAAACTACACAGTGTGCGTTTGAATTGACAATTTGATACAAAGTTCCTAGGTGAATCTCAGGAAAATTGTAAATTATACTCAAAAAATGCCCTCGATCCAAGACTCGGAGGCAATCAAGTGCTGCAGCGAAATAATACTCATTCGAATCTTGAGATTCCGTAAGATAAAAATAAAAAATTATTCTCCCATAATGTTTTCGAGCCAAAAAATATTGCACAGTTTAAAGAGAATATGGTACAGATTTACGTGAACTGAATATAGTTGAGTACGGTACAGTTTACCAGAATAACGAGGACTCCCACATTAGAATATTACTCCGGGAACAGAAATATAATTTTCCATACAGTACAAAAACGCACAGTGATTTTTCACGAAGAACAAAAACTAATGCTCAACAAATCCTCCTGATAGTCTTCCTCAAAGATTCAATACTTGAGAAAAGGACTGGATCGAAAAATCAATTCATACTTGAAGATTCTCGAGATACGCGACCATAGCATTGATCATGTTGAGCTTTCAGCTGACGCACCCGTTTATCAGCGAGTGTAATTTGGTCGCAAAGAGACTGAGGAATATCTTCTTTACCGTTTTTCAAACTTGCATCGGGATTGAAGCTCGATGTAACGATTGGGCAGATTTGACTGAAGAAAAAAAGAAAAGTCAATTCTGAATGGTTACAGCAAAAATAAGTAATTGTAACCGCAGACGTCAGATAAATTTTCGTGACCATATTGGATGAAAAACGTGAACGTGCAAGATAAGGATCATCAAAATATGACTCAATAAACATGAACATCCGATCATTGCTAATGAATCAATCAACGGAATAAAAGTATCTTAATTTCTGGCTTCTACCGCAAATCGTACGATGAATTTAAGAAAAGCATTTTTCTTTCTATCCATATAGAAACACAGTTGCATACTGATTTTCGAACTTAATTTTTTCACTTTTCAATTCTTACTTGATCAACTAAATTGATCAGTCCAATAAAGTCTATTATCCACAGAATGAATACAAATTTTTGAAGCTATTTTTCACGAAACATGTGCCGATGAAGCAAATTTCAAAAATTATCGATGGATGCATGGCAACCGTTCAATATGACAATGTTGATGAAATTAATTACAGGAACATATTTTAAATAAAAAGCAGACAGCCTGAAATATTCATGGTAATGGTCATCGGACGCGGATGATTGAAAAATTAATTGACAATGTTAAAAATTCTGATCAGCATTCCAGCAAATCTCGGTCCAAAGTTTAACGTGTCTTAATTTTATGTTACGGTGGTTGTTGTCACACTTATTTTTGACAAGCATAATATCGCACATTTCTGATCTGATAAATTTTAGTTACATTACATGCTCAATTTCACAAAAATGTCGATCAAAAATGCTTTTGAAGGATGCGACGTCGCCAAAATTTATATCATAAAGGCTGACATTTTCCCCCTTTTATTTACTATAATTGGTTTTTAAATTAAGATAATTAAGATCGCGGAGATAATCCGAAGTGTGTCTTATAATTTGTCTGGATCATAGAGTGTGGGTTCCGTAATTACCATTCACATGGATTAAAATGTGTGATGTCGACAGACACACACACACAAAATAATAGTCAACACGAATAACCAGACTCTTCAATTATCCAAATGAAACCGAGGACGACGTCACCTGATATTGTTGTGGTCTCCGTGTTTTTGGGCACTTTCAGCAGAATTTCGGTCCTCAAAGACCGTCTGGTGTTGGTTGTTGAACCCAGAATCCTGGTGACACGACTTGTACTGCTCCAACTCACACTGGGCCTTCTTGAGCGCGGCTTTTGCTTGTCGCCATTGAGTCGTCATCGCAACCTTGTCTTTTGCAGCTTCCTCCAGTAATTGAAAAAGCAATCCACTCTCTTGAAACACCAAGAGAACCACGGTTTTTTTCTTTTAAAACATATGAGGAAGGAGCTCAGGGAATTTAGCGAATTGAATGTAGCATTTTTCTTGTGGCGCGGGTCGTGAAATCAGCGCTCAGGACAACTGAGCGCCAGAAAACTTTCGGCGTTGGAACGTCTGATCATTTGGCAAAATTGTTTCAACAATGAGCAGAATAATAGATTTGTGATGTTCAAACATGTTAATGCCTCGGTTATGCATTTTTGTGTGCTCCATCTGCTTCACAGAAGCTTCAAATAAAGAAACTGTTGAATATAGTCATCCAGGAAATATTCGAATATAGTGGAACCCCAAGATGCGGACATATAATTGATGCCTAGACCTTGTCCTTGAGTAAAAATTTTCGCATTCAGGATCTTGTATTCCACTAGACTTCAATGAGAATATATCCAATCGGTTCTCATGTTAATAAAAAAAATTCCACCAAAAATGGAATAAAATTATTTCCTCAACTTCAAGACACGGAAAGAAACAGTGCAGAAGAAAATCACGCATAATCTGGTCTTTGGTATGAAAAGAAGCCCAAAAAAACAAGCGAAAAACTTGACATACTGTGTTCAGATGAAACAAAGAATTGTGAAAAAATAATCGCAAAATTATCCTGTTTTGGATTAAAAATTCCATTCTAGTGAATTTAAAAACAAATTCAGTTTTGGAGAATAAAAAGGGCTCAATTCCTCCTGGAGCGAAAAATCCATTTTTCTGTAAATTTTTTTGAAGTACCCATATCTTGAGACATTTTCCAGATGTCCACGCAAAATTTTTGGAGCTATTGAATCGCCTGTACATCGGTGCGTCCGGGTGTTGGGGTATTCTATTTTCGCGCAGAAAATATTTGGGGGAGCAAACAGAAAAAAAATCTCAATAAGGACGCACTTAATTTAACCTCTGACCAAATAAAATGCCGTTATTGGACGAAAGCTGGACATAGCCAATTTATAACTCTCGAAGGAAAAAAATAAAAACCAGCGCAGCAATGGAAAAGAAACCCAGTATCCTCCAAGGGTTAATACACATATTAATGTATATTTATGGTACTCCAACAACTGTTGAAATACAATATTCACGAAGTCCAAGTACCTGTACAGTACTTGCAGTCCTCCAGAGTTGGAGAGAGAGAAAAAAAATGGAAAATCAAACGTCCAACGCCAAGTTGTGTGACCCACACTTAGTTGCTGGCCCATCGCATTTTTGGTGGGTTCGCAACCCACAAATTCAGGCGGGAAAAAAAGCGGAAATAAAGAGAGAGAGATTACTGGGCTGGGATTTCCCAACGCCATGTCAGGAAAAAATGCGTCCTTCGAGAGTCACAAATCCGGGTTTTAAAAACCTCGCTAACACGGTTTTGCACTGAGCTGAATCACCAACAAAGCTCGCCAAAATGCCGGGCTTATTGTTTCGAGGTTTTTCTTTCAACATGCCACACGCGTATATATTCGACGCGTTTCCTGGAAGGTAATCGTTCTTTCTGAGATGAAAGCAGAAAAGAGGATCATATACTGTATATACGTGAGTATAAAATATGGCCAGTGTCGGGAGAACAACTGACCGCTTTCCACGATTTCATTCAACAACGAATGATATTCATGCTATGACTTCAAGAGCCATATATAGGAAGCACTTCAGTCTTACATTTCCCCTGCTTCGTATGAAAATAGCACGATTTTCTTGGAAAAAATTCATCCGGAAAATTCGTGGTATTTCGGGGAAATGCTTCCCTCAATCGACGAATCCCACGTTTAAGATTTAGTGCCTGACAATAAATGTGCACAAAAGTAATTTCATCAAGTTGGCTCTTTAAATAGCCAGCAAATAGTTCAGGCGATTTCGAGAATCTTCATCTTCAAATGCAGGATGAGGCGAGATTAAATTGTTTCGTCGATTTAAAGTCTCAAATATCTTGTCAGTTAAGAATCGTTAAACATTATAGGAAGGTATCGGAAGCACTTTCGAAAGAATGTTTTTCATTTACAAAATACATGAGTTGAATCAAAATTAACCTTCCTTCCTGCCGTCATCAGACCATGCATACTTTCAATTTTAATTTGAAATTCTTAAAATGTATGCCATATCATTTATGTCAACCTAATTGATTATTGTTCATTGATCTGACTTCGTTTGGATTTTATGTGTGGACGACATACAAGGAACTCAACTCATATTACTTGCACTTGAGAGAGAAATGCGGTGAATTCCACATTTTAAAAAGCACTTATAAAGAAGTACTTGACAAGAATATGACGTGAAACAAGACTTTCAACATGCATGAGAGGGTTTGAATAGTCATTATAATTAACTGTATGAAGTACAAAAACCTTGGCCCATTTTTCAAACTTCAGTCTTGAAAGGTGTTTAGAATTATGAAAATTAGAATATTCATTGAATAAATTGGACGCATTACTAAGAGATATCATACCTTTCTCAGATGACCAAAGTTAGTCATATATCGGAAATCAGCCAGGAAAATTATGATATCCTCTGAAGGTTTGAACTTTAAAGAATTAATTTTATATCTCAAGCGTAGGACAAATGAAATTAGTTCAATTGAGGCAACCTCCGAGGAACAAAAAACCCACGTTCAATGGGAAGAGGAAAATGGTAAACTAATTAATGGGAAAGAAACACAAAAACCTCTCACGCGTTCTCATATTTCGAAAACTGATCCTTTCCTTCTCATCCAGGAATCTAAAGATGTATACAGTATATATGCCCATTCCATCATAGTGGGTATCAAATTTCAATAACCACAAAAAACGTCAATGAGAAAATAAATGCATACTGTACAGTCAGCCCTCGATAAGATTTCACTCGTTCTTTGAATCTCGTGACGTACGAGGTTGTTTAATGCTAATTTTTATCGGAAAAAGGCTCGTCTTGTATTTTTGGGTATGCTTTATTATTGCAAATTCAATTTCTTGCTTTCAATTTATTTATGGCGTTTAGGCTGTTTTGTTTAGCGTGCCACAGATATTGGCATAAAAGCGCTTTGAAAGATCATCTTTTTGCAGTGTCAAGTTCCCTGTCACGTCCTGAAGCGACGTAGCTCCAGCATCCGGTTGAAACCGGACCCAAAAACTTGTTGGATCTGGAGGCCAGTGAGCCTGGCAAAAATCCCGTTTTTGCCAGACTCACTGAGCCTCACTCAAGGAGTGAGGAGAGACAAGAAGTGGTTATCACTTCTTCGATTTTTCCTGAATTGGCCAATCCTGAGCCAGGAAGAAATCTCCTGATTTCTTCCTGACCCAGTCCAAGCACCTGGGTATAAAATCATTCATTCCTCTTCAGGAGAAAAAGTCAGAACCTAGTGTTAAAGGGCCTTTCAACTTTAAATTACCTCATTCAATATTCTGAGCTAACCATTGACTCTGGCATGAAAACAATTGATCCAACAGCCAATTGATGAACTGGGCAATGAGGATGAACTCCTCTGAAAAGAGTTTGAGTTCTTATTCAAAACTTGCATTCTGATGGCTGCAATACTGAATTCCTTTGTATGGGATCCAATGGACCCATGACATTCCCTTCCCTTTTCATAAAAACCTGAATTTTGTGCCAACCTATTTTAGTGCCAAAAATTTTATGGAAACGATGGTTTGCTTTGAAGGGCTCCGGCACAACTCACTGCACCTTCACTTGCCGCAGCTGTGCTTGCCGCACCAACAGTTGCTGCTGTCATCACTTGCTGCTGTCATCACTTGCTGCTGTGACAACCTGCCGCAAGCCCAACTCACCGCAGAAATAACTTGCCGCTGATACAAGTTGCCACAATTGAATTTAATGCAGGAGCATATATGAGAGTTCACAAAACATGAGAGGTTAACTATTCATGGAAACACCCTTCAAATATTCCATGAGTGCTCTTGAACTATGTGAACTTGACACACTTTGCAAATTCTTGGTAAATTTCTGTATGTATCTTCTAATTCATAGGGTTCTTTTCCTTTTTTCACTGCAGCATATACAGTTCTTCAATGCATTGATTAATTTCCAAATTTAATTTTCAAATCATTTGTGTGCAAGCAGGAATAAANTTTTTTCACAATTCTTTGTTTCATCTGAACACAGTATGTCAAGTTTTTCGCTTGTTTTTTTGGGCTTCTTTTCATACCAAAGACCAGATTATGCGTGATTTTCTTCTGCACTGTTTCTTTCCGTGTCTTGAAGTTGAGGAAATAATTTTATTCCATTTTTGGTGGAATTTTTTTTATTAACATGAGAACCGATTGGATATATTCTCATTGAAGTCTAGTGGAATACAAGATCCTGAATGCGAAAATTTTTACTCAAGGACAAGGTCTAGGCATCAATTATGTCCGCATCTTGGGGTTCCAAGGTATTCGAATATTTCCTGACTATATTCAACAGTTTCTTTATTTGAAGCTTCTGTGAAGCAAATGTAGCACAAAAAAAAAATGCGTAACCGAGGAATTAACATGTTTGAACAACACAAATCTATTATTCTGCTCATTTTTGAAACAAATTTGCCAAATGGTCAGATGTTCCAACGCCGAAAGTTTTCTGGCGCTCAGTTGTCCTGAGCGCTGATTTCACGACACGCGCCATAAGAAAAATTCTACATTTAATTTTCTAAATTCCCTGAGCTCCTTCCTCATATGTTTTAAAAGAAAAAAAACCGTGGTTCTCTTGGTGTTTCAAGAGAGTGGATTGCTTTTGCAATTACTGGAGGAAGCTGCGAAAGACAAGGTTGCGATGACGACTCAATGGCGACAAGCAAAAGCCGCGCTCAAGAAGGCCCAGTGTGAGTTGGAGCAGTACAAGTCGTGTCACCAGGATTCTGGGTTTAACAACCAACACCAGACGGTCTTTGAGGACCGAAGTTCTGCTGAAAGTGCCCAAAAACACGGAGACCACAATAATATCAGGTGACGTCGTCCTCGGTTTCATTTGGATAATTGAAGAGTCCGGTTATTCGTGTTGACTATTATTTTGTGTGTGTGTGTGTGTGTGTCGACGTCACACATTTTAATCCATGTGAATGGTAATTACAGAACCCACACTCTATTATCCAGACAATTTATAAGACACACTTCGGATTATCTCCGCGCTTAATTTTAAAGCCAATTATAGTAAATAAAAGGGGGAAAATGTCAGCCTCTATAATTTAAATTTGGGCGACGTCGCATCCTTCAAAAGCATGTTTGATCGACATTTTTGTGAAATCGAGCATGTAATGTAACTAAAATTCATTAGATCAGAAATGTTCGATGTGCTTTTCAAAAATAAGTGGACAACAAGCACCATAACGTAAAATTAAGACACTACGTTAAACTTTGGACCGAGATTTGCTGGAATGCTGATTAGAATTTTTAACATTGTCAATTAATTTTTCAATCATCCGCGTCCGATGACCATTACCATGAATATTTCAGGCTGTCTGCTTTTTAGTTAAAATATGTTCCTGTAATTAATTTCATCAACATTGCTTGTATTGAACGGTTGGCATCCATCGATACTTTTTGAAATTTGCTTCATCGGCACATGTTTCGTGAAAAATAGCTTCAAAAATGTTTCTTCATTTAGTGGGTTTATTATTGGACTGATCAATTTATTTGATCAAGTATGAATTGAAAAGTGAAAAATTAAGTTCGAAAATCAGTATGCAAATGTGTTTCTATATAAATAGAAAGAAAAATGCTTTTCTTAAATTCATCCTACGATTTGCGGTAGAAGCCAGAAATTAAGATCATCTTATTCCGTTGATTGATTCATTAACATTGATCGTATGTTCATGTTTATTGAGTCATATTTTGATGATCCTTACCTTGCACGTTCACGTTTTTCATCCAATATGGTCACGAAAATTCTAGACTGCAGACGCCAATGTTAATGAATAAAAACGACATTGGTAAGTCTTAACTGAAAAGAAAAAAAGAAGTCAGTTTAGACGGGTTAGCAATGTAGCTCGAAGTTAGGGCTACGTTCAAACTTTTTCGGTAAAGAAGATATTCCTCAGTCTCTTTGCGACCAAATTACACTCGCTGATAAACGGGTGCGTCAGCTGAAAGCTCAACATGATCAATGCTATGGTCGCGTATCTCGAGAATCTTCAAGTATGAATTGATTTTTCGATCCAGTCCTTTTCTCAAGTATTGAATCTTTGAGGAAGACTATCAGGAGGATTTGTTGAGCATTAGTTTTTGTTCTTCGTGAAAAATCACTGTGCGTTTTTGTACTGTATGGAAAATTATATTTCTGTTCCCGGAGTAATATTCTAATGTGGGAGTCCTCGTTATTCTGGTAAACTGTACCGTACTCAACTATATTCAGTTCACGTAAATCTGTACCATATTCTCTTTAAACTGTGCAATATTTTTTGGCTCGAAAACATTATGGGAGAATAATTTTTTATTTTTATCTTACGGAATCTCAAGATTCGAATGAGTATTATTTCGCTGCAGCACTTGATTGCCTCCGAGTCTTGGATCGAGGGCATTTTTTGAGTATAATTTACAATTTTCCTGAGATTCACCTAGGAACTTTGTATCAAATTGTCAATTCAAACGCACACTGTGTAGTTTAAATTTTGATATATTTGGAAGTATTCAAGGAAGAGGTCATGTCAAAAGATAGGTTGGTATACTGTACTCTGAAGAATGGAATGGAAGAAATGAACTTCTCTGCTTCAAAATATACAGTACAGTATTCATGCATTGAAATCCATTTTACGTTTACGGATACTTTTTTCGTTTCGAGTTTAAAAGATAAAAGTAGTATATTTACGGTAACTGCCTTTTAAATTAAGTACAGTACATGGCGTGTTGCACAGCATTTTGAAGCAATATCATAAAACTTTTCTTGACGGACGTCTGCTTTATAAGTTTTCAAATTAGTGCTAATATAAAGGATGACTTCAACGGATATTTGCAGAGCTCCAAGTTTGTGATTCCCCAAGTCATCAGATAGTCTTGCGTGAAGCGAAAAGGATTAGACCTGGCTTGTCGAATACGATGACAGAACCCAAAGTCCGGAATAGAACCCAGGTTGCGGGGATTTTGTCATCCAAAACCAAATGCAGCAACTCTGCTAGAGTTAAACACGGCCGCAGCAAAAATCGTGGGAGATCGCTGGAAAATCATGGCTGTGACAGCTCTTCTGGGTCAACCAAGGTCGACACTGATTCCGGTGAGAAATATTTTCATACAGCAATTCTGTCATATTCAGAACGATTTCTGACCATATTATCTTCATAAATCCTGCCGTCAATAAATATCTAAAATTTTAAAGAACAGGTGTCGCCCCAATTATGAATTTGATCCGCAAAAACGTAAACTACGAGTATATACGTTTTTTTTTATTATCACCAACATATTTTTTTCTTTCTCGGAAGCTGTCCGAATTTAAATGAGTTAATAAATGCATATTTCAACATTATGTGCATGTGTATTTTGATTATGCGTCAGACGCAGGATTTTTGGATACAGTTTCAAAATCATTTGCGTGGAAACCAGCAGTTTATTGTCCTTGAGCGATCCATCAATTCCTTTACGTTCGTCGATGTCAACCATTTATTCTTGTAAAAATTGATACCATCCTTTTTTGATCATCTGATGACAAGAATGTGAGAAAGTGACGTTTAAGGCACTCTTATCATTAATTTTTTGTATACTGTACTGCTGTCTGGATCATCAGGAGGGAAAAATCAATAAAAGAACTTTCTTTCGTTTACTTTCGTTAGTTCTTTTGACTAGGACTAATTCTCGTACGTAAGCAAACTGCTTCTTTTAGGGCAACTCTTTTTCACTTGGTAAAAAAGGACCGTGCTGTAACTGACGAAAGAACGCAACCGAATTCAAGCGACATCTGTGTGATGTTGCTTGAGCTGCGGAATTTAGGATGTCTCGCTCTATAGAGAAACCCGAATTTGCTGCTGCTGGATATTTTTTTTGCCAGACTGCAATGCTCTGCTTTTTCTTCCAGGAACTTGTGATTCGTGGGGAGAGAATTTATGTGCTTCTTCTTCAAGAACAGAAATTGAGATGACTGGAATTAGAAGGAAAGATGGACGAAGAACAGGAGGAACAGAAGCGTCCAACAGCCTTTACGAAGGTTCCATCCAAGCTGCGAAGACCAGAATTTGTCACACTCCGTCCGAAGAAGTCTTCTTTGACCAAGTTGTCGACATGTTCTCTGGATGCATTCAAAGTTATTGAAATGGCCAGAAATAGATGAACTCACAATTTTTTTTGCTCCGGATTTCTCTCTGTTCTGTCATAAGTTTCGCGTGTTTTTATGATGGATATGAGCGTGATGACATGCATTAGAAATTTAACTCCACATTTTTACTACAGTATATATTGATGAAAAACTCTAATCTGATGATACAATGTGGTTTGCAAGTTAATTGAAACTCACACTGCCCTTTTTTAATTCTGTTCTTTTTTCGCGACGATCGAGTGAAATCTGCTGTCGTCCAGAATAAATTGAAGGACTAAAGTTGTATCAAGCGCGGGAAGCGACATTAAATCACGAATTTCTGAAGAATATTCGTGTAAATCCTTTTCAATTTTTCTTTCTAAAATAAACGGATATTTTGAATTATTCTCCTTCTTCATTGTACACTGTTCATCATCTAGTACTGAACAGCTTTATCAATGCATTCCTGCCAACTCAGCAACTTTAGTTTTGGAACTCATTCAAGTAATATAACCTCGAGCGTGTGAAAATGCGTCAGTGCTTCGCTCACAAAATTGGAGGAAATACGGGAACATGAAAACATATTTCCATTCAGCTGATTTCAACTCATCGAGCTCAAGTGAGGAAATCACGAGTGTGTTCATTGCTCTTATTCACCTTAAACGTGTTCTGTCTATATCTTTATAACAGTTTTGTATGGTGGATTCGATCTCCCTAATCGATTTTTTTGACACAGCAAATCCCGACGAAGACCGATTTTATGGTTGATGCTCGCTGTTTTTATCAACACTCTGATGAATGATTTGTTACAATAGATGATGGAGTTTATCTCTGCAATTTGAAATTTCTTTCAAGAAGTTTGCAGTCATTCACAGCATGTTCTTGCAGATTGAAAAATCGTTCAGTGAACATATAGACGCTTCGAGTATACAGTATATGCACGCGTTTATTTTTGCTAAAATTTCTGTGATTTATTTCCTCGCGATTAATTGATATGAATTCCAAAAGCGTTGGAATGTTCAACACGTAACACATGAAATGATACTAAGGTACAGGGGTAACTTCCTTCATATAAACACATTTAATCGAAAAATTATTTCTTCTTCATCGCAGAAAATCAAGCACATTTTAACTAAATTAAAACTCCACAATAAAATCGACGCAGATCTTATACTGCTAAGCAGCATAAAATTAAGCATCTTAAATTCCTGAAATGTTTCTCTGATTTACAAAAGTCCAACTTTTGATGTGCTGTGAAATTAGCATAGAGTTACAGTAATTCACTATTGAAGAGAAACCGCTATCAACTGTATCCACCCAGCAAACAATTAGGGCGTGGGAGCCGAAGGCATGATGATCATGGTGTGTTCTCCTTAGTGACACACACCATGATCATCACGCCTCCTCAGTTCCCCATGCCCAGAGCTGGTGGGCGTGGGGAACCCCCGTGANCCCAGCAAACAATTAGGGCGTGGGAGCCGAAGGCATGATGATCATGGTGTGTTCTCCTTAGTGACACACACCATGATCATCACGCCTCCTCAGTTCCCCATGCCCAGAGCTGGTGGGCGTGGGGAACCCCCGTGAGGAAGTCCATGATGGGGACTTTGGAGACGGTGGCTAGAGGGAGCTCAAGCACCAGACCTAGAAGATGGCCGCTCCCGTATATTCCTAGCAGTTTCATTGAAATTAACTGTTTACGGAATTATCAGTGTTGAGTGAATTCTTGTGGTCTGTGTGGAACCGCGCTTCAAATGGAAATTCCAGTTAGAATTGTAATTCCAGAAGTGAAATTTTCCGTTGACCCATGTTGGGCACCTCTGTTGGGATTCCCCGCGTACTCGTACACGTTTTTGACCTCATATTGTTCATTAAGTGCTTTTATTGGTAATTGTGTAGAAAGACGGAAAAAGAAACTTGTCATTGTATGATGTCAATCTACCTGGGTGTTGATCATTGACTTTAGCCATTAATTTGATGTTGAGACTTGTTTCGCAGTCCTCTTGGCCAGTTTCGACAGGGTTTTAAAATCGTAAACCTTTGCGAGCCAATTTCTCATGAATGATTGCTTGCTGTGGTGAACAAGCCTATTCATTCTGCAGATTCTAAAATTTAATGTCGCGTAATTGTAAGGGAACCTGGTCCGAAACTGAACTAAAAGAAAGATGCCCGAGTCGAGAGTGAATTTTCCAATGGATGAAAATTTGAAACCTTGCGTGAATTTCCTTCGCGCGTGATTTTCAAGTCCTGATAACATCGACTGGAATTCGTGCCCCCTCTTGACTTCATGCATATTACGGATTTCTGTATTCAATACCTTCTGTGCTGTATATGATTTTTGTAGCGGTATTGTTGCCTAAATCGAGCCCATAGAAAAGCAAAGAACGAAACGGAGGGCTTGTCCTTTTCTGGGAAGTTCCCAAAAAACCTTGAACTTCATCCCTGCAGTGGTAGTGGTGTGGTTTTTGACCGGGGCAAGACAAAGGTACTGTACTCTCTTGTCTGTCACATGTTCACGTATGTTTAGTAATGCTTTGCAAAATTTTCAGCCATTGAACAAATTACCTGGCATCCTTGCTCTGATTGAGGAGTTTTCTGCCCAAAATGACAACAAAAGTGAAGAAGAAATTGATGATGAATCTTTCAGGTGGGAGGCTGCCAATGAATTGTTACACAGAATTTTAAAAATATCTATTCTTTGTACCTTCAGGGTGGAAATCAATACAACCCTTCGCCACCTCAGAAGAGATGAAAGGGCAAGAAGGAACCAGAGAAGGAGGGCAATGAAAGAAATGGATGACTCCCCGAGCTACACGGGAGGGAATTCAGGGGTTCCAAAAGCCACTTTTGTTGGAGGCATAGAAAGAGAGTCAGAAAATTTAATTAATCTGTGGTACTTGAATTGTAATGATGAATTTGACACATTTCCCTTGTGAATGTCAAATTTCATGGCAGGAGTTTTTGCAGTGTTTTTTTCATTTTTAGAGCCTCAATGTGTTTGAACTTGTTTGGATTTTTATGCTTTCGTTAATGCTTTCAAAACGTTGTATACATGGGTGTTGTCTCTTTGTTTAACACTCAAGCTTCATGTGTTTTCTTGCATGTTACCTGTACTCTGCAAAATGGCAAATTTTTTTGCATGCTCAAAATGCTGCAAGGGTAGTTCTTGTGTTTAATGCTGTGATGCAAGTAACATGAAAGTGTCTGATGAAGGAATCAAAATCTAGTTCATGAAATGTGATGGAAAAAAAATTAGTACTTGTACTATGTTTTTGGAGTTCAAATTCTTGTGTTCAGTAAATCTATGAAAGTGATTTTTCTCTTTATTCTTCATAAAAAACAAGTCTTTGGTGTGTTTGACTGTTTCCTAACTTTGCATTGATCAATGATAAAATAATTTTTTCATGTATCCTGCAGTGGCCTAAACTGTTTGGTTAAATTGTTTAGAACCTGGCAGTGGTTCCAGCCTTGCACCTTTTTTAGTGGATTGCAGCTGTCATGCAAGAGTAAACTCAATGCTGGTGAGCAATGTATTATTATTCTTAAACTGCCTTTTTTCTTTTTTTTTGATGAACCCTTGAATATATGAAGCTCAAAGCATATGCAGTAAAACTTGGTTATGATGAGCTCCTTTTTATGGGGTCCCAAATATGGTGAACAAGAATTTTTTAAGGTGTTGCAGCTGGTGTCACCAATGCAAAAACTTACTTCAAAGAAACACAAGTAGTTGACAGGATTTTCTCAAGAAAAAACTAACTAAAAAATTATTTTTTTGGTTTTCAGGTGAAGATGGTGGATCTACAGAAAGAAGACTCATTGCTGGAATCCAGGGCCTGTGGAAATATTTTGTTGTGCCTGCAGAATATGGACTCTAACACTAAGTAAGGATTTTTTTCATTAGTCCCTGCAGGTTTTGCATTTGAAGAATGTTGAAGAAACTTTGTTCTAACAAGCTTATTTTTTTCAATAGTCTCTGTACAACAACATTTTTGACTTGATTGTGCATGGACTGTAGAAATTTTTACTTATAGTAACAAAAATCTAGAATATCCAATTTGCACAGCATACCAACTTTTTTTTTTAATGGAATGATAATCTCTTTTTCAGGGAATTTAGCCTTGAAAGAAGTATGAAGCTTGTTGCTTGTGGTAGAAACTATGCAGGTTTCTTTCAAAATTTAAGAATGGGTTAATTTTCAAAAGTACTGTTGAGTGTTGTATGTGATCCTAATTGCACCATGTTCTCTGTTTTGCAGAAGGAAGAAAGCCAGCCCCATGGACCCACTGGATGATTTCAACTCATCGAGCTCAAGTGAGGAAATCACGAGTGTGTTCATTGCTCTTATTCACCTTAAACGTGTTCTGTCTATATCTTTATAACAGTTTTGTATGGTGGATTCGATCTCCCTAATCGATTTTTTTGACACAGCAAATCCCGACGAAGACCGATTTTATGGTTGATGCTCGCTGTTTTTATCAACACTCTGATGAATGATTTGTTACAATAGATGATGGAGTTTATCTCTGCAATTTGAAATTTTTTTCAAGAAGTTTGCAGTCATTCACAGCATGTTCTTGCAGATTGAAAAATCGTTCAGTGAACATATAGACGCTTCGAGTATACAGTATATGCACGCGTTTATTTTTGCTAAAATTTCTGTGATTTATTTCCTCGCGATTAATTGATATGAATTCCAAAAGCGTTGGAATGTTCAACACGTAACACATGAAATGATACTAAGGTACAGGGGTAACTTCCTTCATATAAACAACACATTTAATCGAAAAATTATTTCTTCTTCATCGCAGAAAATCAAGCACATTTTAACTAAATTAAAACTCCACAATAAAATCGACGCAGATCTTACACTGCTAAGCAGCATAAAATTAGGCATCTTAAATTCCTGAAATGTTTCTCTGATTTACAAAAGTCCAACTTTTGATGTGCTGTGAAATTAGCATAGAGTTACAGTAATTCACTATTGAAGAGAAACCGCTATCAACTGTATCCACATTTAATACATAAAAAGGCATCTTTTACTAGCTGCACGAAATATTTTCCCGGAGTTTCTTCAGAATTCATTCCCATTGAAGATTATACAGTTCATGCTTATGCTGATCAACCCAAATACAGTATTTCAACCAGAACTTGGCTTATGTCAAAATATATTGTGGAGTTCGGGCCTTCTCCAATTCGGATACAGCACAGCAGATAAGGCTTTCATTTCGACATTTCTCAGCACATTCAGTTCAGGCACATATTTGATGTCTCAGCTCATTGATATGCCGTAGAATGTAGATACAATTTTTATTATATAAGACACTTCATTTCTTCTTGTAAGAAAATAACCAGTAATAAGCTGTGAGTATTGTACAACAGGTTGACTCCCTCTACAATGATCTTGCGTCTACAATTACTTTCTCTGACTAATATGAGAGCCTAACGTTGAAAAAATTACAACTGAATTCTCTCTACAACGAATTTTTTCTGGCCCCTTGAGTTTTGTTGTGGAGAGAGTTTACCTTTAATATATTTCAGGAAATTTTATAGTAAAATGTGCATGATGTTGGGATAAAAATTCCGAGTCAATGGGCTTCAAATTTTTTAAGACAGTTCCAGAAGGGAGGTTTTCAGAATTTTGTTTTCAGAAATAAGGAAGTCCACTTGGCTGAAATTCGCAGAAGTTCAGGAAAGTGTTCGACGCAGCAATGTTGCAATAAACAGAAGAAAATGCATACATAAACCATTCATCATCTTTATTTCCTCGTCCTTTATCCATACAATAAAAAATATTTTCACAGCAACAATGCCAGACACAGCAGGAAATTTCCGTCAGTCCAGTCCACGAACAGTTGACCGACAAAGAAATCAAATAAAGACCAGCAAGGGGGAAAAAAGAAATCCCTTCGCAACCACGTCTCAAAAACAAGAAAAGTGGGCCATCCAACAAATCATTCATACAAATCCCGCCAAAGAATGTAGCAGTGGAACCGCGAAAAGAAAATAATAGAGAGAAAAAATACAAACTAGATTCGTTCTTTTGTTTTAATCCGATTCGATGTCAAGCAAAGTCAGGTCCGTTGGCCTGACGTGCGGCCCAAGAGCCGCCGGTTGAAGCGCGGGAATTTTCCTTCATGGGGTTGAGGTCGATCGTCGTTGACGAGTCCACGTCAGCAACGCTTTTACCGGCCTGCGGGCTTTTGGTCGACGCGAGTTGTTCGGCGTCCAGCTTCCGCTGGATTTTCTGCTTATGTGTGAGATACGCTTCTGCACGACACACGGCGTAGTCCTGAAAAATGCGAGCGTGACAAAAATTGCGTCAACAGAAACCAATACTGCGTGTGTCTCGTATACACACACTCACCCAGTAACCGAATGGAATATTGGAAGAAACTGCATTCACACAGCTCCACATGCTCCAGAATAAGTGGGAAGCCAGTTGGAAAACGTCGACTTCGCTCAACAATTTCCGAAGTTCCTCTTCGGAATACATGCGTTCTCTACTCCCACTTTCGTCAACCTGTCCTGAATCGAGCTTTGTGGATGTGAAACTAGATGTCGCGGATCTAGACGCTTTCTCCTTTCCCAGCGCTTCCAGGTAATTTCGGAGGAAATGCAGCTGTGAAGTGCATACGAAAATACGATTAGACACGCTCACACGCACGAGGTTGGGTCCAGAAAACACCCAGAATATTCTGGGGTGATCCAGATTAATTCCAGCTGTCACACTTCCCAAGAGCGATTTCTCTTTCAACACCGATCTACTGTTGCTTGAGCGTTTCTGATGCATTTTTCGAAGCTTAATTCATCTCATGGCATTTTCATTTTAGGACAACGATCACGTGACAGTTGAAAATTTTTCCAAGGCGCAAAAAATAATTTTGGAACAAAAATTCGGGATTTTAATTAGAAAACTATCATGAGATCACAGCTAAATCACTCAGCTGTTGCTCAAGATATTCTGACTGATCTTCTTGTCCCACTTGTACGGGACCTGCTCTGATATTTTTAGAGTAGCATGATTGCAAAAAAAAATTCTGGACACAGCTCATGATGCTCTAAGGCTCTGGAATTGTTTTCGGATTTTCAACATTTATTTTCAAGTAAAAACTTTCCAGTAACAGCCACAGTTCTCCGTCGAATTGCGTCACAGGATGCCAAAAATGTGTTAGGCCAGCTAAAAAGATTTAGTTTATTGTTGTTTCACCCATTATCTTTCCTAATTTTAGAAAAGGTTTAAAACAAAAAGATCGATGATTTAGCTGACATGACAAATATTCAACACCCTGTGACATGGATGGAGAAATTTGCCTATAACTGGAAAGTTGTCACTTATCAACATGCAGCACATTGAAACACTTTCTCAAAATTCCTCAAAAAATACCAAACCTTAGAACATTATGGGCTATATCATGCATTTTTTTAATAATCGCACCTACTCTGAAACTATCAGAAGTCTCGTGTAACTGAGACAACCCTCGAAAAAGAGCATCAGTGACCAGGAATGAAAACTATCACCATGAATATAACATCTACCGGATAAAACTCTTGATTTTCGAAAAAATTTTAGAACATGGAAGAAGAATGATTCCCACGAGTTTGGTTACATTATAAGGAGATGATTCCTGCCAAAGACGTACTTGCGATTGGACTGATGGGTAATTAGCAGGCGTATTGGAGAAATACGGCGGATGATCCACTTTGTAGTTGTACATCCATTCACAGAAATGGTTCGCCAGGTCAAACCCACGGTAATTGTAGGAACAGTACTCGAAGTCAATGAATGCGAGACGCGATATTTTGGCATCCTCGCCTCGCTCAATAAGAATGTTGCCCTCCTGGAGATCATTGTGCCCAAACACAACCGGGGAATCCACCGACAACAACGCAGCCCTGCAAACAGAAACAATTAGCACAACATGTTTCAAGCATGCCGAAAAATATGCATAGAAAGCCATCGAAAACCGAACAAGTTGCATTACAAAATCTACCTAGAGAGAAATTTCATACGAAGTAAAAATGTCTAATTTACATGATTTCTCGTCGTACATTCAAGCTTAAGTCGGACAGTAATTTAATATATATACGGACACATGGAAAGCCAAAAACAAACAAATGAAGACTCAGCAGAATTTTAGAATTATGGAAGAATTCTGAGAACATTTTCTGAATTCAGAAGTAACGTACTGTATTTACACAGATATAAGCCCCTCTGAAATATAAACCTTCCATGCTTTTATGTTTAAGAGAACCGCAGAATATGAGGCGAGATATGGGATCCTATAGGATACAAAAAAAATTATTTATTCCGAGAAAATCGTTGTAGAGCGAGTTCACCTGCATTACAAATTCTCATGAAGTAAGAAGGATACCTCAGAAAGTTTTTTAGCAAAAAAAAAATCAGTTTTAGTGGTGAAAGATCTCTCCGAGTCCTCATGAACCCCGACTGAATCGATCAATCCCTTGACATGATAGCCACTTTTAGTCTTTTCCTTCAAAAGATTATTCTCATACCGTAAAACCTGTTGAAATCAAATTCAAAAGCGACTAAAAAAAAATTAAACTTCCAAATAAATTGAACGGAGTTGCACAGACGCATAACATTTTTTTCTTCTTTTGGAACCGAGTTTACGGTATGCGCATCATAAGCTTCACATTATTCTGACGCTTCAAAACGATATCCGTCGACTGAACTGCATTCCGTTTCCGACACTTTTAGACTGCGCAGACGGTCGAAAGAAATTTAGTAAAATTTAATTTCAAGAGGAAGAAGAAAATTTCCGAACAGCATATATATATACACGCACTTGAGCCAAGTGATTTCGGCGTCCAAGTCGATCCGCTTGATGAACTGGAAGAAGTCCTGATTGGCGCCGGGGTCTTGCTTGGGGAATGCGGGACAGGCGGGACACTTGGACGACGGCGTGATGTCGGTGGCGATGATGAGGGCCCACTTTCGCATCGTCTCCCAAATCCAATTGGGTTCCTTCGACAAGGGCAACTGCAGTGTGTGCATCTTGGCCAACTGCTGCGCGATTCGTCCACTGATTTCCGGATCATACAACTCTCGAGTCGTCAAACACGGCGACTGTTGAAATGAATATTGTCGTATAAATTGATTTCAAAATAAATTACAACGAGGGGGGGAGAGGGTTGTACTGTAGATGCAACTACATGAGTAAATGAAGATGGAAAAGTCTGAAATGAGGCCGAAATGTTATTCATAGAAGAAATATTTTAATTAATTTCCTTTTTTGACATTGTGTGAAAATTACAAAACTCGCTTAAAATGCCTCGTTTATTATTGTGAAATCAAACGTTACACGCTGAGGGTACGTGTCCAGCCACATCCGAGCAAAATGTTGAAAATCTTTCGAGAGGGTAAAATCCAAAACCCGTTCAATTTGAGCTAGAAAATGACTCTAACTGAAACTAATGCACCATTCAAACTGAAGACGTGGACCAATTCACGACTATGCCTGAGATTTATAATCAATAGATAATCAGGAATAATTTTCTCGAATTTATATTTATTATCGCAATCATGAATAAATCGGAACCAAAAGAAAAGGTGTTCACACTCCCTTCCGAGACATTTTATCATGCGTACTTGGCAAAAAAGTTAGATTTTTTGATTTTCTGCTTGCATCTGTTGAATGTTTTTAGAATATTTGGTCGCACATCATTCGTAGAAATTTTCAACCAAGGACGGTCAAACGTGGAGCGCGATTCGCTCAACTAATTCCAATATTGAAAAATACATTCATGTTTCTGCCAAATATTTTTTTCAACTCAAGACATTTGAAGATTCAGAATAGGATGGCTCAAGTAATTCGGATTCTGATTGTGGATTTTCAAACTAAACTAAAATGATGATGCCCTTTTGCCACACCATTTGCTCATGCCACCAACTTGTCAAATAATTGAGTCATCAAGGTGAAGCCTTCAAGAGCAGCTGATTATCTCTGAAAACGTTGTTGAAAACAAAGATACACAGGCAAACAACGAACAACTTTCATCCCGAAGACACACAAGGTCAAATCAAGGTTATTCTTTAGATAAGAAATTCGAAAAGCTGCGCCTGGATGACGATGACGCATAAGTCTTTCATGATACGACAGCGAGGACTTTGATCGACCACATTCAAAGAACGATTACCAAAGAAACGAGCCCCATTTTCGCGGGAAACCGGCGGAAATAGAATGGGAATGAAGAAAATTGAAGAGCAAGAAGTTTTACGGGACTCGATTTTTCAACATACAGCACGTCCTAACATGAAAAGTCCCTCAGATTCAGAATCATGAAAAATTCCTTCATGGTCATGCTTCGATCGATGGATAAATTGGTCTTGAATCACCGGTGGACTTTCTCTTTACAACGATTTTGTTAACTTTGAATTTACTTCTCGGGGTTCCCGACGAGTCTTGGGCATCGCACTGAGTCCGATTTCCAGGGTCTCCGTGGTGCTCACACCCGGCGGAAGTGCGCAGTAGTACAAATAATTGCTCAAACCTCCGCTAAAAAAGAAAAAAGTTTGAAAACAGAAATAAATCCAGGGTATCAACATTCAGTACAGTAGAGAGATGCTCAACCGGGAATGACGTACGAACTACAGTATTGTACTACACTACACGTGGACTTTCTCTACAATGATCGTGTCTACACCGATTTTCTCCGCATATAAAACGATGTTCTTTCGGCGCAGTTTTTCTTGTCAATGTTCAGGGGATTCAGAACAAAGAAATCGTCTCTACAACTAATTTATTTTTCTGGTCCCTTGAATTTCTTTGCAGAGTGAGTCCACCTGCATTAAAGATTTTCGTTCCGAATAGTGAATCTCGCCTTTGATGAAAGAAAAATCTAAGTTACCGCGCGAAACTCGCATGACAAAACATCATAATGAATCTTGCTTATTTTTCAAAACGTCGAGCATAGATTTTCTTGCCGAAAAATTTTTCGTTTTCAACGAATATTTCATGAGGAGCATTCATTCATTTATGGCACCATCGAGAATTTTCAGGAAGGGAAAATCTTTCCAAGGACCCGGAAAGGGATGAAGAATTTCATACAGCTCCACATAATCCGGTCGAGAGTTTTTAATTGGGGGTCATCAAGAAATACCAGGATCACTACTGCGAAACGTAACTCGGTTGATACACCTTTTAGGGATAAGACTTTCTACGCGATATCAATTCCAATCAAAAAGCACTCAGGTACAGTATTTTGGGAGGGAAAAATTCAGCATAAAAACAGCAGGATAAAAATTGACAAGGAGGAATCCATCTGAAAAGAAAACGGACAAAAATTCAAAAAGACGAGCACAGTACTGTACTTGAGAATACTCGAAAATTATTTTTACTTCGTAAGTCCTGAATTGGTTTCAAGTCGATTTCCGTAGATTTCTTAACTTATTTTCGTCTCTCTTCAACAATTGATAACGAGTGCTTTCTCCGTTCTTCTTTCTTTACTTGTTGATTTTCCGAAGTACATGAGTGAATTTGTGCGGAAATGATGTCAAAATTTCGGGGAGGAGGATTTAGAGTTTGGCAGGAAATTAATCGGCGGAAAAAGTCGCTTCAGCAATTTATTTCAACACTCGCAGCGGTTGAAGGGGGACGCAAGAGAAAAATTCATAAATGAATACTGTACATCTTTTGTGAGGCAGAACCGACCAATAATTAATGTACCCAATTATTTAGAGGACATTTTTATCAGACCACGTACTCGTTCTGTTGATTACTTTCTGCCACACACCAGCAAAAAATGAACGCATTATTTTGCCAGCTCAGCGAGGAGAGGAAGGACGGAATACAGTACTGTAATTTTCCTCAAATCACCGTATATTTAATTTTCTTTTTCTTCGGAATTCAGTCAGTATGCTTTATTCTGCACTGAATTTAAAAAAATGTTTTCTTCAGAGTTCTCAACAGCTAACCTCGATTTTCGCTCGTTGAGGATAAGCAATTCATTGAAAAATTATCGTTCAATATTTGCAAGTTTCAAAAAGTTATATCTGAACAAAAAATCAAGCCACAAGCACAATTTCTCGACGGGGAAGAAATGAGATCATTTGCAATTGTTCATATTCTTCAGAAAATTCTGAAGAGGGGGAGGAAGACAACGAACAGGAAATTGTAATTGACGATATTCTGAGCCTAAAATTGCTGTATGAATTTGTTGAAAGGATACTACACTTGAAGGGGAGGTTTTATTCGCCAAATCAGTCTTTCCCTTTTTTTTATCAAAATACATAGTTTCTTTTTTATCGTTTTTCTCTTTCCTGCGTCGATAAAAATATAGCCAAAAGGCCTCAAGAAAATTCGAGTTTTGGAGGATCGAGGATGAAACGCTTTGAGTAAGGGAGGTTTTGAATGTATTACTTCCAAAGGAATTCAGACGGGAATCCAGTCGAAAAAAAAATTCGACAGATTGGAGGTATTAGACTTCGGGAGGTTCGAGTTATCGAGGTTCAACTATTCTTTCAACCAGTCCACCTTTAAAAACGCACATGCTTCCTGAAGTGCATATACACGTGGGTTGAGGTTGAAATACGCTCATTTCGCTGGGAATGGTTCCAGAAAATGCTATATTCACTTTGACACAAGATTTTCCCTTCCTTGTGCGTCACATCAAGCATCGCACAAGAAAAAAACACCTGAAAAAATAGAACAGGGACATCCACTAGGGATTCTTTTATATCTCAAGCCGGAAATCCGGATGGCAGGTGCAGCGAGACCATTTTTAAGCGTCTCCTTGACTGATGATTTCAGAGAATCCAGGTCAAGTTCAAAGGGAGTAAGTAGTAAAGGGACGACCTCAACGCCACATGTTATCGTGGCTGGAGTGAGTAGAACAGGAATAAACATCAACTCGACCGTATGTCCGGGGATACGAGGCCGTGTGCCAATTTTTTGGCGGCACTCTCTCCATTACGAAATGGAACGGCTGGTCTGCGATTTTCAGCGGGCTCACATTTTCAAAACACAACCAAATGAACAATTTTAAAAAGTAAACTTCTTCAAATATTTATCGCGAGTACGATCATTCCAATTTTCGATAAAAGTACGACGTGAGCACAAAACTCGAGATAACCGTTCCAAGAGTGAATTGTTTCAGGGGAAAAACAATTTTATAGCATTCATGGAGTTCCATCCGAAAATGTTAAATTTTCTCTAACAGAATAGCACTAAAATGTGCTCAAACGAGCATTAAATTAAGAGCCATGTACAATATTAATAATTGAAGTGTAGCATTCCGAAAGTTCGCCCTTCGTTCACACTCCAGATGACCACCAAATTTTCACTGTTGTTTCTTGCGACATAATTGTCACTTAAATCTCGTCATTTATTCGTTAAATCTAGTGATCTCGTCATTAACTCTTGAATTACAAATCTGACGGAAAATGAGCGAACAGACAAACATTACATTAATAATATGAAGATACTACCTTAAATATTAGTTTCATGGGTACCCAGAATCATCCCGAGTTTAATTCCAATGCTGCAAGTAAAATGTAAAATCATTTTTCATGACTGATTCCATTTAATTGCAGCCGTAATTTAAGCCACGTACAGCTCAAATTTTGACGAATTTGGTCGAACTTCACACCACGAAAATAAAAAGGCAAGTTTAAGACATTTTTTCAGTTCATTCGGTAGCGGAATCAACTTCACATTAAGCTAGATTATTTTTAGCTACATGAAAAATGGCACACATTTGAATCTGTCACAGGAAAAAATGACTTATTTTCAGAGTCCGGACGCATTTCAAAAATCTTCTCTCACGTCAATTTTCAACTGGTTCAGCAAAAATGGAAAAAATTCGCAAGGCACTGATGAAAATACTGGTGGACGTTCATCCGAACGGAACTCAAAGGATCAGAACAAAAGTCTTTGTAGAGAGAATTTCGTTGCAGAGAAGCCCTCCAAAGTGGGGAGAGAACCCTGTGGGACCACAAAAAAATTTTAAATACAGAGAAAATCGTTGTAGACAATAAAGTTGTAAAAAGACCACGTGTAATCACCTTTCAAAGACGAGTGTAATCATTCATTCACCTTCGAAAATCTTCAAAAACGCATGTAACGTACCTAATCTTTTATCATAAGGACTCAGATGACACCTTTCTCGAGATTACCTTCACCTTACACGAAGAGACAATAAACATGAAAACCGAAAAGCTCCTTAGCATGGGATAAAATTTAATCTCACTACAGTACACGTCAAAAAGTGAAACTACTCACCAAATAGGCTTCCAGTCCATCTCATCTGGCTTGATGCACTTCCAAGCTCCGCTTAAATAGTCATGACATATTTTCCAGGCATGGTCCTCCGCAGAAAGGCTGCGGACTTTAAATAAACTTAGAAATCGAATTTACATCGTATTTTCAACTCAGTCCCTGTTCCTAAACATGTAAATTGAAAACTTATTCAGATACAGAAAGCAGTTGAAAAAAAAAATTATTTGAACAGCATTATGCGGGGAAGCAATTTGCGAACTCACCGTTTTGGGCTCAACAACTTGCACGGGACTGTCGGTCAGAACGGACAGCGGATAGAGGATTACTTCAGTCATGTCTATACTTCACGGAGTTTTCTTTTCAAACTCAAAAAAAAAAACGCGTGGTATCAAAAAATTGAACCTCAATTCATTGAACTTTTCGTACTACGAACGCACGTAATTTCTCTGGAAGTTTAGACCAAGAACAAGCAGTGCATCAATTTTCGATATCAAATAGTAGATTTGGATTCGTGATGCAGAAATAAATACACTCCTCAACGTAGGGTTAAATAATTATATGAGGCAAAATTTTCAAATGCTGAATACAGTATAGTAATTAAATTTTAAAAATTCAATTCTTTGCACACATGTTACTCAGAAACTTCTCTATTAAATCATTCGCGCCCCATTGCCATCAATTATTAATGCACTGCTGGAACAAAAAAAAAAAAAAAGACACCAAGATTACCTGAAATCTATTTCTGACCTGATCTCACAAAATTGACTAAACCTCTTTCAATCAGGCCGAGTCACTTCGAGATGATGGGCGAGTAATTAAAATTATTTCAAGTTATTTTAGAAATATATTTCGACAACTGTATAAAATTCGTGAAATACAGTACCGTACTTGAATCATACGTGATATTTTGTCTAGGTCTAGGCATAGAAACCGGGATAGTATCCCAGAAAATCGGAGAACAACTGCACCGTACTCAACTGATCTACCATGACCTTTTTTCGGATTATGTGGATTGAAATAACTGATGTGAACATATGCATACTTTCGCATAACATGGGCAGATCCAACAAGAACTAGGGTACCTCCAACTTCAATTTGAGATCGGAATTTCGAACCCGTCAAAAATTAAAAATCAATTGATCACAAAGCGGGAAATATTACTGCCACCGTTCCAACAGGTGATTTCACCAAATTCAAAAATCCGGAAGAAAGGAAAACTGCTCTCGAAATTCCTGAACACCGTTCACACGAGAAACTAAACTAAAATTTCACTGGAAATTCCGACATAAACGGATGTCGTATACATACAAATTTGTTCAATTTCTATCGACGATGAAACAACGGAATAAAGAAAACTCATGTCAACTTATCGAAAGCGATAAATAATTTCAAGAGTCACTATAAAATAGTCATGAAATCATTCTTGAAGATTTAAAAACATCCTGGAAAGAAAGAGCACGAGTAAAACTGAACTAAAAAATCCTGCGCGAGATTCAAGCACGAGCACAAAAAAAAAAAAAAAACAATGTCAATAAAAGCATATTTTCCTTTTGTCTAAGAGCACGAGTAAAACTGAACTAAAAAATCCTGCGCGAGATTCAAGCACGAGCACAAAAAAAAAAAAAACAATGTCAATAAATGCATATTTTCCTTTTGTCGGAGAAGACACTCAAAAGTGTTTTCTTTTCTTGAAAAGGGGAGAACGACCAATTGAAATGTTCGTCAGTTAATGTTTCACTACAAGAAACTTGACTCGAGTGAACTTATCACGCTACCAGAAACTGAACTCGATGCACTGAATTCCACGAAATTGTAACACATACGCAAATTCTCAAGAAACGTTGTTCCACCTCATGGCAACTTGAAAAATATTTATTGAAAAATAAAAATGAACGAGAACGTCAAATTTAAAACGTTCGCCAGTTAAAGTTTCATCAGAAGGGAATTCACTCCATTATACGGGGATCACCGAAAATAATTAAGGAACGGATTTCAATGAATGATGAATTCCCAGAACTCCGGGCCCACGTGAAACTAAACTTAAAAATAAAAAATAAAATCTACGCAGTGTTTCCACAAAAACGCCAAATTTTGTCGTTGTTTATCCTCAAGAGCAGCGGAAGAATTTTCAACTTTAAAAAAGGTCTAAAAAAACCACTAGTTAAAAAGCTCTTCCTTTCACGTTTGACCAAACTGAAATGAACGATCACAGAAACAGGTAAATAAATAAGACAAAATTCCCGGGAATGAGGAAGTTCTAGAATTCGAACTACGCAGGAATCCAACGCAAACGCAAATTCTCAAGAAATTGTGTCGATTGTTTTAACCCAAAAAAATTCCTTTCTTGTCTAAAAAAAAAAAAAAGGAAACACAAAAACAACGGGGAAAACCTCTGCCGGGCCACAGGGCGACGTGTCGACTTCTGCTGTGCAATGGCCAGCGTCCCCGACGCGACGTCGAGATGCCGGGGTCTTGATCTGCGCCACAGTCCCCGTCGGTGTCGCGGCTTGGGCCCCGTCCATCGACGCGACAGGTGGTGCATTAGCCGCCGCCGCCGCTGTCGACGACGTGCCCGCTACGGCGGTCTTCCTCATGGCCGCCGTCGCCGCCGCCACTAGCCCGGATCGCCGCCACACGCTACAGCAGCCAGCCGTCGACCGACCAACGACGACGGCCGCAGGCAGCAACCGTCGCAACAGAATGATCACGACACACTCACGACACTCGTATATTTAAGCAGTGTATTGCTGGTCCCCTACAGAAACAATGCCTTTTCCTCGTTTCGAATGCTGCGGAGTCGCTCAGGAGAATTGAGCAGCGATACGAGAGAGAACAAAATAAAATCTGTGAAGGTAATCGCGCGACGCGACGTGAACGGGCTTAAGCAAGAGTCGATAAAACCCGCTGACAATTTAGACTCGGAAGGAAAATGTCGTTATCAATCAAATAAAAGTCGAGTCTCTTATCAAGAAAATGGAGTGGTTTCATTGAGAAATACAGTTTACTCAACAAGAAATTATTGCAGAGGATTCCAGTGTTCCGAACTCGCGTACACCGCAAATTGAACTCAAAACATATTCCATTGGCCTTGAATCTCTTGCCTCTTCACTGGTGGTGATAAAAGAGCAATTATCGTAACCTTTTCGAGGTACATTTTCAGAACTCGACCATCTTAGTAGCAGAACATCCAAAAGGAACAAAATAAATTGAAAACTCTTCGTGCGAAGTTCTTCCGGGCTGCGAGGGGTGAACTATATTTAGACCCCAAAAACTATGACTTCATCTAGTCTTTAGGATATGGTGGTTCAAACTTAAAACTACAAATGGATAATACTGTATTCCGATGATTTAATTAACCCAAGGCAGCTTGCTCTGACTTGTATTTTTAAAGACTAACCTGCAAGTTTTAAGATCATTTAATACCTGTATACCACGGCTTTGTGTGTCTTCAAATCCAGTGCGAATCAATGAAAATCTAAAATAAAATGGGAGGTATGGATAGCTTAAATCCTTTTTTTTAAATGTGGCGTCTATAGCAATATTATGAGTAACGAAAACATTCCTTGACGGACAATTTCGCGACATGGTATCTCACATTTTCTCTCGAAACGTCAGAAGTTTCTTCACTCAAGTTTAGACTTCAGATCATATTTTATGATCACGCGCAGCTTTGGAGAGATTTCTCAGAACGTATCATTCAGCTCAATGGGAGAATATATTCAATGACTAAAACATCACCTAGCCTAATGCTGAAAATTCAGTTTTGAATTCCGATCCTTCAGAAGTCCAAGTGGTAAATACTGTAAATAACACCTCATGAAATAAGTACATTGACACTAGTGATCCAAAGTTAATTTGTATTCATGCCCTCATATGCTACGTTCGGATTTGGATCACATACGGATTTTAGGCAGCTAATGCAAGGTAAAATACATTTCATTTGACAAATCCAACTTTTCCGGATGGAAATTTCCACAAGAAAGTGGTATACAAGTCCCTTTGCAAATCCCCTCACAAAAAAATGCATTAAAATCCTCCTCACACGATTTTGCAAATATTTTATTGATGAAGGAAAGAAAAAAGCAACAGAAATTTAAATTTGTGTTTTGAAAGGAAGTGAATGACCGATAGAGCAAACGAACCCTTGCCTCCAGGTTAAGTTTCGTGTGAACTCATTCAAGAAGCAATTCAAGGCTCAGAATATCACGAATTTCAAGTTCCTACAGTTCTTTCTTTCTCCCAACAAAAAAGTGCGTTTTGTTTATTACTCGTAACCTCCCTAACTCGATTTTTTTTCTGGTCCTTTGAAGTTCGACTTGTAAGAGGTTTGACTTGAGTAGAATATGTAGTATTTAAGTCAAAACCGAGTTGTGCACGGCATTTCCTCTGAAATTAAGCGCGGTAAAATACGCATAGAGAGAAATACAGCATCTTTAATCTTCATCCTCTGACAGTATACGCGTTCTAGTGAAATATGTATATCACCAAGATGACGAAACGCCGGTCGGACTTCTACTATGACTCGTTTCCGTTGAGGCGCAGTTTCACTGGGTCAAGCTTGTTTAATTTAGATTCTTCTGGGATGTAACGACGCACATCAGGTCAGGTATTTTGCACAAGATGCTTTTAAAAAAAAGAGGCCAAACGGCAACGTCGACGTAGAACTCGTCATTCATCCTAGATGCCACTGTTTTCTTTTACTTGTCCGTCGAGTCATTCGACAGATCCCATGAGATACTTCGGTTATCTCGGCTTTGGAAACCGAATGGCAAAAAAATTTGTTTTCTCACAGCACTTATAGACAAAGTGAATCATCGATTGCGGACTCATTCAGGATTCTCACCTCGAGAAACGTGTAACTACGGAGAAAATTATTCAGATTTCTACTTTCGCTCTCGTTGACTCAATAACTGAACTCGAAGTCCGTCATGAATAACACATACGAGTACAGTATTTAAATCTAGAAAAAGAATCGAAATTTTTGTGAATAAGTATTTTGTATTTTTGCCTGCAATGATAATAGTCCATCCCTAAAATGAATGTTCGGATATTGCGTGAACACCATCAAATTAGCCGAAGACTGAACACCTAAAGAGAAAAAAAACCCCGTACTCAGCTTTACGACCCTGATTCAAAACGAGAAGCAGGTCACATCAAGTTCCCCTTCAATGAAAATTTATATTTATGCATGGAATTCATTCTATATTTAGCGATTAAGTTTTGAAAATGATTTCGGTATACAATAGATTCCAGATACGGTGACCTCCGCCTTATTCCATAATATTACGTTGAATTATTGAATAAAATTTAGCATTGATACAATATATTTAAAAAA